GACGGGGATCAACCACCGTTCTCGGGCGTGATAATTGCTGACCTCTAGCTCGCTGAGTGCCGCAGTTGGTATTGTCAAGGCTCAATCACCGTTCTCGGGCGTAGTAACAGCTGACCGCTGGCTCGCTGAGTGATGTAGAAAGTAAGTGACGGGGATCAACCACCATCCCCGGGCGTGATAATTGCTGACCTCTCGCTTGCTGAGTCATGTAGGTGTAAGTGACGGGGATCAACCACCGTTCTCGGGCGTGATAATTGCTGACCTCTGGCTCGCTGAGTGCCGCAGTTCGTATGTGGCGAGGATCAACCACCGTTCTCCGTCGTGACAATTGCTGACCTCTGGCTCGCTGAGTGGTGTAGGAAGTAAGTGACGGAGATCACCCGCCCTTCTCGAGCGTGACAATTGCTGACCTCTCACTTGCCGAGTGTCGTAGTATGTTAGTGAATAGGTCCAACCATCCCTTTGTACCGTGGCCACCGCTCACCACTGGCTGGCTGTGGGCTGTAGACGGTAAGTGAACAAGCCCAGCCACGGTCCCTAGAGAAGTCCATTCCTGACCTCCAGCTGGTTGCGTAGCCGGTAAGTGCACTCAATCGACCTCCACCGGCTACCCAGTGCTATTTCTGACTTCTCGCTCGCGCGGATCATACTAGACGGTTAGTGAACTGGATAAACCCCACCCCTTCCAAGAGCCCGTTGCCGAGCCTTAGCTCACTAAATATTGTAGGGTGTAAGTGAACTACATCAACCACTATTCCGGTGCGAGGCGCTGCTAACCTCTCGCTTGTTGATTCTTTTAGTTGGTAAGTGAAAATGATCAACCACTGGTCTTAAATGAGACAACTTCTGACTGTCTCGTTGTGTATGGTAGGAAGTAAGTGAACGAGGTCCACCTCGACCCCTGACGATATAAGTACTCATCTCTGGCCCCACGAGCCTTGCAGCAAGTAAGTGAACAGAATCGGCCACCATTCTGCGATGAGCCAGTGGCTAACCCCAGGGTCGCTATGTGTCCTAGTTGGTAAGTCGCCATTATCAACCACGGTTCTCGGACGAGTCAACTACTAATCCCTGGTTCCCTGGGTGTTGTAGGTGGTAAGTGCACTCACGTCTTCCCCTTAGGCCGTGCTTCCACTCAATTGATATGTATTGCCCGTCTCTACAGATTGTATGTTATCAGCAACACATAATGTCTCCGTCAATGCCCCCGATTCTAGACTAATCTCTAACCTCAATTCCTCTTTAGGAGGTCCGTATTCCGAATCCTCACATCCTATCTCACTATTGGGCTAACCATTCACCCTTTGTGCGTCTTTGTTTGTACGCAAACCTCTCCCCCGCCCTTTCGGTTATAATTGATACTTAGTTACTCTCGTTCTACAGCTCGTTAGTAAATTCCTTGCTTCCTAATCCTGCATCTCCCGCTTACACACGGCACGCCCCACAACCGTCTGGGCAAGTTAGGCAGTGAGCAATATGTTCCCCTTACTACTAACCCTATCCGTCCAAGATATCTGTTCACCTTTTTAGTAGCCTGTAAGTCCTTTAAGTTTACTATCCTTACCCCCATCACAAACAACGATTAACCCCGCCTTAGTTTTGTCCCCTGGACACGGCACACCCAAGCAACTTGCTCACGCAAGGCACCGCCCCTAATACCCAACTGCCATCCAGCGACCGGTGAGTAATATGCCTGTTCTTTCATAGCGCATACCCAAATGACTTACAAACTCTGTAATTGGTTTAGAGACTGAGGTCAGTTATTGGGGGGATCCCTGCTGTTGGCTCAATATGACTCCTGTTTGGGAGGGACCGTTCCTTTTACATCCCCTACGCCACTCCTTAACCCTAAGTTTTAATTCTGTGAAGGGAACTATCTCTCCACTAGGATGCAAGCCCTCGCGGGTATTAGTGATAAGAGGCTGATGGCGCTTCTGTTGCAGCTGCACTCGCATCTTTATAACTTGATCGCGCCATGATAGCATTGCTAGAATTTCCGGAGGTCGCTAGTATGTTGTTGTTGCTCGTCGGAATTTCAGGAGCCTTCTCTGCTAGATCGTTTGGGGATGAAATGGATTTTTCGGTGTTATCACGATTTACGCAGAGGGTTCTGCAGGCGCATCTTTCATTTGTTATCGTGGGTATGTTCACGGGAATTGGTACATACCCAGCGGCACGATATGTGCGGCGATCCAGGCAATAATAGGCATGCTTTTTTTATTCACGCTCCATACTTACCATCCGTTTTAAAAACAAGACAACGAATGTGACTCCATCTTTTCTACTCATCCTACCTTACCCCTTTCCACAGTGGAAAAATAAGTTCACCCACTTTACTGCTGTGATATTTACAGATACTGTAATAAACATAAATATCAACGGCTATAAAAAAAAATAAACCTCCCTCCCTGCCCCACAAGGGCAGGGAGGAATTTCTAGATGGACAGTTTATTCTGGGATTTCCAAAAAATTCGAGGCCACAGTGTAGCACTCTGGCTATTGCAACCATCAAAAGAATATTTTGTAGGGCGGTATATAAGAAAAGAAATATAGGAAAAACCAGGCACTCGCACCCTTTCCTCCTCTGGCCCTTCTACAGTGTCAAGTAACAAGCAATATCTAAGTTCAGGTCCTGATCCTAATTATTGCTCCAACTGGCGGAAGCTGCACTCGCCCTCCCCGCGCCGCTTCAGCAATTGAACCAACACACAAAGGGGTTGCTTAAATACCGAAATACCTATTTTTTAGTTTATAGATACAATATTTATGAAAGCTTTAGTGCACTAGTATCCCGCCTTATTAATTCCATTGAAAGAGAGACCGCTCATGAATTGAATTACTACATTGAGACAAGGTGGCGACATTCAACTCATGCAGCCGATCATAGCATTCATCTCGCCAGCAGGTTGAGAGACGATTCGTGTCACAATCTCCAAATGCTGCCAATGGAGGGAGATTGTTCCCCACCCATCCCTTGTGATCCCGCAGTGGAAGGGATAATTTATTTCACACAGTGAAAAGCAATACCGCTTAGATCAATAGAAGTAATAATCCCCGAAAAATGGTGAATATCACATCCACGCCAGGAAGAGATACTCCACCCCACGGACCCCCCCCTGGAGGTGCACGCTCGCCCCCACATAGGTCCCGATCATATAGCGAGGCTTTCGTAGTTTACGTAAAGTACCGGCAATTCAAACCTTGGGTTTTCTGCATCGTTTGTGATTTCTATCCCAATTTCGGTGTGATACTTTTTCAGTCATGAGACTCTACAACCTCTCCGGCTTACAGCATCTTATGATTTCCATTGTTACCACTCGCAAAGCACAAATCAATTTTTATCCTAATTAATCACCACGAGAACGCATGAAAATCCAAGCCCAGTCGAGCCACAACCTATGGCAGTTTACATGCAAGAAGTGTTTTCTCTTTTTTTAAAAAAATTTTCCAAAAAAAAGATCCCTTATTTAACCCTAACCCTATACCCCCCCCCCTACCTTGGTATGATAGTAGAGTACGAGTACACAGCCTGTCCCCCACCTTTCGGGTTTCTGGACAACGCTAGGTGTCGCATCAGGTTCAGGTGTCTCCTTTCGGTTTGCTGGAAAGTACCGGATGGTGAGGATCCGATACAATATCTCCCACCCCGACATTCTCCAAAACTTGCATCCTGGATATACTCAGGATCCGTACTCGGGAGTGTAGTGACAAGGCCATCAAATATATTATAGCTCTGTAGTCCGCCCGCATCTATATTGAGATACTAACATATTCCCCCAGCTATCACACCCTCCGCTCAAATGTTACTCTGGTGTGAAGCGATAGACCAGGCATCAACCAACCATCATTAGAAAGCGAGTGCAATCTCAACTCGTAGAACAGCCACAAAATAAGTTTACAAAGATAAAGCTCCGGGGGGGGGGGGCGCGAATGGTAAACTCGGAGAAAAAAGTTGAATCCAGCAACTGGCAAAACCCCTCTCCCGGGAAATCTCCTATATCAGATGCTTACCGGAGGACATTCAATGTTCGCTCCGACCGTACTAACACATTGGATAGTATGTAGATGCTCCCGACGGCAAAACAGCGCTTTACCAAATAATTAACACGAGCCAACTTAAAGCTAGCGCACCCCTCAACCCTTACAAATTCGCGAGAACACCAAGGAAATCAATGATCAATTCCGGTGTAATTAGACCCTGACTCCCCCTCTAAATACACAGATGCAATCCCACACATTTCCGGCGAAAAAAATAGAAATGGACAAATACAAACTCAGGTCATTGAAAAACTACTAACACAAGTCCCTACACTTGGCAAGAATAACCGCGACACTCAAAGCGCGAGGGAGGGGCTTACTTCTTGAGATACTCAGGTATTCCCATCCCCCACAACGCTCGAAGGCCAGCAACAGATTTGCCACCATATCTCAACCGGTCCCGTCCAATGACTGGCTCGCTTTGGATGACAGAGCGAGGTTGGGTGGGGGAAGTGGCGGGGCGCTGTTCGGCTATTTTTCCTGTCAGCCTTTGAACGGTCGGGAAAGGGGGCTGGAGCGGAATTACAGTATCCACTTTCAACACTATAGCCGGTATTCGGGGAGGCGGGGGAGGCAGGGGACTGGCTACCTATGGAAGAAATGGTTGTCAGCGGAAAATACAACTTGGGCTATCTGACTTACTAGGTGCCTCAGGCACATCTAGGTCGCTGTCACCTGTATCGATAGCTTGGACACCATCCTTAATGGCCATCACCTTCTTGCCCCCAGTTGTCCTGGCCACCTTTTTGAACCCGCCGTTTGGAGATTCGGACGCTGGGCGCTTAGTACCAACGGTCCTGACAAGTTCTGTATACACGCTGTTAGTCAAGAACTTTAGGTCAATGACCCATTGAAATCATATACCAATAATCTCACAGTCCTCCGTCACATCAATCTCCTCCATCTCCTGCTCTTGGACGCTCTCAGATGCTATAGGAGCTCTTCCACCAGTGGGGATTACAATAGCCCGCCTGTCAGTCGCTCTCGCAACCGTCCTCTTGTCAAACCAGGTAGTTCTACCAATTCCATCTTTCCTTCCGGACCCGTCGGCGATCCCTTTATAAACTGTCTTCGTGGGGGTTCTGGGAGTTCTAGGAATTCTAGGAGCTCTGGGAGTTCTGGGAGCCTCCTCGTAGTCCTCGTCATTGTCGTCCGGATAGTATCCGTCTTCAGGGTCAACTAAGTGAATGGAACTCTCTTCCGCGCTATCTTCTACCATGGTTTTCCCCTTTCTTCCAGAGGTGCGCTTACCACGCTTGTTTGCGGGTGATTTTCCCGCAGAAAATTTGCGAGCATACACCCTAAGAGAACGTCTTAGGCTGGCACCAGCAGTCTTCCTGGTTGCGGTAGACATGGGAGAAACCAGCTTTCCCACGGATCCCCCCGCTAGCATGCAAAGTCAGCCTTCACCCTGTGGACTATGCAGACGCAAACATGTCATACCGACAGGACTTTGGTTCCCATACTCCGGATCACCGCTATCCCCTCCAACCGAAGCCTCAGCGTCACCGGGAGAACCATTGATGGGACCACCTAGTTATAATAATGCAATGTCAGCCTCTGCTCGATGCCATCTGTTCCCATCCCATATGACTCCATAAATGCAAATCCTAACTTACCGACAAAGACTACATCTTTGATATCATTAATTGCCACATTCTCCTCGGACCCCTCCTCCTTATCTTCCTCAACCACCTTCTTCTTTCTTCCCCTCTTCTTCCAGGCCTTCCGTCTGCTTCCCCCGCCCTTTATGGCTTTCTTCAAGAGAGGTTTAACTGAGGCTTCTCTCACCATAGTCTCCGGCTTTTCGTTTTCCTGCCCTGCAGTAAGCTTGACTGCTAGAGTAGCGGACGCATGTGGGAGAACAGGACCCATTTTTCGCTCCTTTGCCCTTTGTGTTTTTTGGTTCCACCAACGTTTCTGCTCCTCTCCCACTTTTTCAGTTGTGGTGTTTGTGGATAGGAAAGAGGGGGGGGGGGGGGAGGAGGCTATTAAGCCAGCGGTGGTAGAGATCCGAGGGGTGCCAAGGGATGGGTGGAGAGCAGGTAGGGCAAGTATGGTCTCGGCGAGATTCTAGCGGTAGAGATACGCTTGCGCGAGGACTATTTAAGAAGAGGAAGAAATAAAAAGTCTGTTGGTTTTGCCCAACACTATGCAGTGAAACACCCGGCCGCTTCAGGAAATATGACTCATGCAATATCACTCGTACGTTTTTACTCTGCCGTCCACCGTTTTCAGTGCCGATCGTCCATTAGGCATCGGAGGCATGGCTAACTCACACTACAAATAGAGCTTTCAAGATATAATCATCCCATGAACTCATCCAACATAAGGCTGAAATTCCGGCCGAGGAAAGAGGAAGCCCGGTTTAAGTGAGTGAAGTACGTGCAACTTCCCCCAACCCGGTTTGCCGTGTCAGGCAAGAAGCATCGTAGGGCCTTGCACTAACGAATTTTCTTGAGTCCAAAGTTCCGACACCAGAGGAACTATACTGCTATCCTCACACCCTCCCCCTAATCCATGCAGGCAGAGCGCATCACTCGGTAACATTCACATGGCAATCCGTCGAGCACTGTGCACAGATACAACCCCTGAGCGCAAACTGATAAAAGAAGGCCGGAATTGAGAATAATACATAATGAATTGAATGAAGTCTAAGCAAGGCTACAGTACACCGGTCCACCGAAACAGACCTTCCTTTTTTTTTTTTTTCTTCTCCCGCTCTGCTTATATAATTTCTCCCGCACACTCCGTCAATGCTCGTGTCCATGCCGCGCCGATATTATAACCTAACCCATCATGTAAACGCGAGCCACCAATCCACCTCCGCGAAAGAGCGAAAGCCAAAAAATACAAGAAAGCAAGAAAGAAAAGCACCATTGGAATCAGTGAAGGAAAAAACAAAGACAACACGTCGCTACAGGCAGCGACTAACCCTCTCCAGGATCCTCTCAAGAGCGTGCAAGTTCCGCTTGAGCGGAATTAGCGCTCCAGCCGTAACGCCAACTCTCTCCCCGGCCGTCACCTCCCCCGCTTCCCCTCTAGCGCTGGGTTCTTCAGATTCAGAGCACTTAATAACCTCTTTGGCAAAGCTAATTACCATCTCAAGGAGATTTAGGCCGCCTTTCTGATGGGGAAGGTACAGCCACTTGATCTCGTCTTCAAATCCGGGCATAGGCGTTTCTAGAACGTGCTTCACAAAGCCGCGAGAGAGGATATAAGCTTTCTCAGAATACAGGGCTGAGGCCAGAGATACTTCGTCGGCCCCCGCCAAGACTCCAAAGCCTGCTTCGTCTAGTGTCCACGGTTAGGTTAGCTCGTGGTTGAATACAAGAAGCAGGGTCAAAAGGAGAAAGAAATTTTTTTTGCTAAGGTCAGAGTTGCTTATAAGGTAGCATGGCTCTTTCCTCATCGGAGCCATGGTTCACCCCAGGAGTGCAACTCCCCGCCCAAGCCAAATGCACTCAGATCGCAATAATAGCCTTGCGGGGGTTAAAAGAAAAAAAGGAGAAGATAACTTACTGTAATACGGCTCTCGAACAAGTACCAATCCCATCAAACTAACAAGCACCTGCAAGACAGTACTACCCCCTGCTGACCACGCCTCATTCTTCTGCTCTGCATGCCATGTTCCCAAAAGACTCAGGCAAACCTTTCCATCTTCGTACAGATTTGGATTAATCTTTCCAATACCCCCAGTCCAACTGTGAAAATGTGCGATAGGCGGAGATTGCGGAAATGTATCCGGAAAGTAGAAATCAAAGAAGAATGGCGCGAGTTCGTACGGGGTATTCGTAGGACCGATTATAAGCACACGTAAAAGGTCAAGACGCGACTCCCATCCCCTGACCATGATCCCAGGTGGGAGGGATGTTGAAAGAATCTGATGCTCCTTGTGCAGTCGCCGGAGAAACGCCGGCTCTAGGAGTGTTGCACAACACTTGTCTACAAATGTGTGATCAGAAGGAGCCGGGGTATCTAAAATGGCAAACCGGGGAGGTTGTTCGGAAGTCTCTAGCATTGAGAGCGCCTCCAGGGCCAGAGTATTGTTGGGTAGAAATGAGGCGTGTTGAGGAGAGGTCTGAGTAGCCACATCCTTTGCGGCCTCGATTCCCTTGCCCGCCTCTATTCTGTCTGCTTCCATTCCGTGCTCCATTGTGGCCGCTCGGACACCATCATCTGCAGAAGTATCCATCTCGACAACAGAGGAACCACCGTTCACCTCCATGCCATCACCCATAGGCCAGTCTTCCTCCTCCCTATTGCCAAGACGCTCGCCGCCTTCATAGCAAATACTCTCCGCAATAGGAGTCCGGGGACTGACGCCAAAAGGAGACCGGGAACTGGCAATAGCGCTCGAATCACTACTTGAATCTGACCCCTCTTCAGAACTTCGGTCATCATCCGGGTCGTCTGTCTCCTCTTCCGAGATATCATCAAAATCCATATCGTCATTGAATACAATGAAAAGTCGGTCAACCGAAACTCTGATGTTCCTAGGAACCTCCAATGCTCCAAGTCGTACAGTAACCAAACCATCCACACCAATATCAACAACCTCGCCAAGCCAATCAATAGGCTGTGTTAGATAAGCTTCCTCACAAGGTGTCCGAGGTCGAGATGAGTGTTGTGGCACAGGTGAACGTTGCGGATATTGAGCAGGGCTATTGAAAGGTATTTGGTTCAGCTGGCGACCAAATTCCTGCAATTGAGGATCGCTACTAGCACCCAATGCTGCGCTCAAGTTCATCAGTAGATTATTGTCCAACGCATTGATCGGAATATCGCTATTCAACGTATCCGCTCCCTCTAGTCGCGTCCGGTCTGTATCTCCGAGCCTCAGAGGGTGAATTTGACCATGCGCATTCCGATCCGCCGCACCACCCCCGGCAGGGGCGGCACCAATCCCAGAGTTAGAACTTGAATTATTGTCCGGGGAAATGGATACAAAATCGCCCCTTCTCACAGAGAGTGCCTCAAGGCCCATCACTTCGTAAACACTAACATCTTCTGTTTCACCTCCGAGTTCCCCAGTCTTAAATCCCGGAGTCACGGAGCCGCCATTGAATTCAACAGGATTCCCGAACCATTTGACATTTGCCACTCGCTTCTGAGAGTTTACACTTTGCACAACCCCGACCTTGTCCTTCTTCTGGGCATCAGCGGAGGGGGAAACAATTCCTGGGGTAGAGGAGTCCGAATATCTGGGTGAGTCACCACTGTCAAGTTTTAACACAACGATTTCTCCGGGCCAAACTTCCTGTTCATCAACGCCAAGATAGGGTACCAAATCCCTGGCATTGTGGACCGTCTCCGTCATGTCCTGCCAAAGCACCCTGACACGCGTTAATGTGGAAACTATCCCAAAGGTATTTATATCAAACCCCATCGCCTCACTTCTCGAGATGTTTTTTACTCCAGGGTACTTTATGACAGCACGAGGTAAATCCTTAAATCGAACCCTGTCTCCGACCTGGTGAACACCACCATCGGTAGCCCCGCTACTGGCAGCATACGGTGTTCCGTCCAAACTAGCAAATCCGCCCGTTGATCTACAGAATCTCTTGAGTTCTGGTAGCCCCTCTCCAAGCTCCAGCCACGTACTCGGTCGTTCCACCGGTATAAAGCGACCAGTAACCATTGAGTTCTGACGGAGCCAGCGTACACCAAGCTTTGTTGTCTTTACAGCAACGATGACTCCAGTGGGAGGGACATTCGGATCATAAGCACCATACAGCCATTTCCCCCTACGAATATTTGCCTTTGACGTAGTCACAGCGAAGCCGGGAGAGAGAAGAGCCGGCGCCGGTATCGTTCCTGCGCGTTGAGAGAAACCCGACGGTGGGCGCTCACCAGATGGATCAGTCACATCAGCACTATCCGGCGACGAAATACTCCGGATTGCAGCTTCCTCTTCCCGATTCAAAATTGGAATCTCCAATTCAGTGGAATCTTGGGGCACCACCACGCTTCCATTCTCCAAACGAATAACAACCTCATCAACTACCTCCTCGACAATACCGACCCAGCAGCCCTTATAGACCACAAGATCGCCATCGTTCCACTCATGCGCGAGACGAAGCTCGACTCCGGGGATACCGGTAATAATAACAGTCGGGTCTGAAGCGATCTGGAATGAATGTTGTACACTGACTTGGCTCGAAACCGAAATCACAGTCCCAGACATGGGAGACTTGAGATTCCGTTTTACAACATCTCCGAATGCAAGCGCCCGGTCGACAACTTTCACCTCAGACTCATGCACAAGCCTGCTCCTATGAAACGGTGTCAATGGCTCAAAAACGGCAAAGTGGCGGGGAGGCTAGACAGCAAATTAGGGTTTTTGTTAGCGCGGCAAGTTTTAATAGGGCAAGCACAAACCTGGCCAGTTCCTAAAAGACTAATCATATCATTCTCTGTAGCAATACTGCCAGGAATGAAATCCGGCTCATCATCCCACTCGTCGTCGGGCTCATGCCATGTTTTCTAGAGGGAGCATTAGTATAGCCAGCGTTGCGGGATAGTTGGGTACTCATGAACCACTGGGAGTAGTAGGGACATACGGAAATAATACCCACGAGCTTCGGTAATTCCTTGAGGTAACATGTATCCTCCAGAAACAACTTGAGGTGAGCAATTAGTCAGGTGCCAACCAAGATGTCAAGATAGGAGGGAGCAAACCGTATCCCAAGTCCCTTCCGGAGGTCTGGGCTTTGGGTTATCCATGTTGGAAATTATTTCTTGCATCCTCAGGGGATGTCGTCAGAGAAAGCACTGTTTCCCAGCAGCCGAGGAGGGCGTAATGGCAGAGCCGCAACGAGGCCAAAAACAGGAGACCGACGAAACTCCCGAGGGAAGGAGAAAGAGGATTGGGAGATAAAGAGTTGTTGAGAAGGCTGGCACTTTCCCGTCGAAATTTCTGCCCTAAGGAAAAGTCCCGGCTGTACTGGTGTGGATCACTAGAAATTGTGAGTTTGAGGATAGGAGGTGGATGCACAACTAGGAAGAGGAGGATGATGGACTTGAGGGGGAGGAGGGAGCAAAGCAGGAGAAGAGAGTGGCTCGCTCACGTACCATATTCGACCCACGCATTGGTGACTCAGCCAGGCGAAAGGCCTTGGAAGGGCACTCACTTTCTGTGATATGATACGCGTCTGCCATAGTATTTTGGCACTAGTACCCGAATAGATGTCGCCGGGGACAAACTACTCAGTCGTTTCCATAGTGCACTGTTCAACTGCTGAAGTCTCGTCAGTGCCCATCAAAGCCTCACACCCAGATCCCAACAAGCCGGGTAACCAAGCTGCAAGTTCTCAAGAATCGACCCTCGCAGCCTTCCCTCCAGAGCCTCAAAAAGGTTTCGTTTCACAACCTTCAGGAGAAGAAACAGCTTCTGCACTCGCTATCAGCTCCTACTACTGTGCTCGCACACTACTGGTACTGCTACACTACTACTACGCCACTGCTGTCACTATCCCCTATACCTTGCCTCTCCCCGCAACCAAACAAATTGCCTCCAACGGGATAACACACACAAAAATGTCGGAACCTATACCAGAATCAATTCCGACTTCTTTCGACCGCCGTTCTCACCGTCCTACAAAGCGCAGAGCTCTCTCCCCTGTGTCGGTGCACGCCGCAACTCTTACGGCCCTTTTCGCAAAACCTGATCGTGAGATACACATCCCGAAACCCGGTGCTCCGAAAGCGCTCCCTCCCCCGCCTGAAATAGTCGCCAATGTTCAAGGCTCTTCGGCTGGGGCCGGATCCGGTGAGTTCCACGTTTACAAGGCTGCTCGGAGACGCGAGTACGAGCGGATCAGATTGATGGAAGAAGAAGTCAAGCGGGAGGCGGAGGAGAAAGCGTTCAGGGAAAGGGCTGAGGAGTTGAAAAAGAGGGACGCTGCGAAAACCGAAAAGAACAGGAGGAGAAGGAGAAAACTGAGAGAAGGGAAAGCAGCAGCTACGGCCGCTTCAAAGGATTCCGAGATGTTTGAGATTGAGAAGAAGGGCTGTGATTTAGAGGCCACGGGCGGCATTGCGGAAGTGGATGGACCTGTAGCCGAGGTGAATGGACTAGTTGTTCACGATGAGGATGATTAGGCACGCCAAGCCTTTGAATCCTACTCCTGCACTCTGGCTTTGGTGGTGGTGTTGGACCTGTCGTTTTCCCGTTGCGTGTATTAATACCCCATCTACCATTGCAGCCCTAACTTTTTTTTAATACTCCTTTTACTATATATTTGCCTCCCTTTCCCCTTCCCCACTTTAACCGGGTATTTCGTTTGTTTAGGATTTCATCTTTTTTGGAGAAGAAACAGCCCTTCCGAGAGGCTGCCATTGACATGGAGTCTTTTATGGAGTCTTCTTTTGTCATTCCCCCCCTTCGCAGTATGTATTATAATTGCAATGGTTCTCGGATCTCACTCTATGCAGGTTGAGGATCTCCTGTCGTGATAACACCACGATAGCTGGATATTGGCACTTGGCCTCCAAACCTCTTGTTCCCGAAGGTCATCCAAAAAAACCCCTTACCCTAAAAGCTCCAACAGCGCGTCAGGCCACGGTATGATAGCCAACAGTCTACCGGTAGGGCATTAGTTTTAAAGGTCGAAGCAAAACCAGAGTCCGCTGACAATCCAAATCCTAGGTGACAGTTACAACCGAGAGAGGTATCTGCTCAAGTTGCCGGATTGAAGTTGCTCCTATTTTGTTCAGTGACCCACCAAAAAAAACGCGACTTCAATTCGGCGACTTGAGTACGGTACATACAAAACAGTGCGTACGACAGTAGATGTGCCTCCAGCCGCCAAAACCAGCTACGGCACGGTCCTGTATGGTACTGTACATTGTAATATGAAGTCTTTAGTTTGCAGCCTGCCTCACCAGCCCTCGTACCAAATGGCAAACCGCCAGAAACGTGAAAAAAAATATTCCGGTGAACCGCATGATCATATCGCACAAATCCCACAAGATACTCACCCGTACTGGTGCCACACCCGAACCCAATGGAACAACCTTCCTCTCGTTGATCCCTCCCTAAACTCCAACCAGCCCATGACCCCGAAATCATGGAGTCTCGGCTTAAGACGCCCAAAATTCTCTCTCCATTTTCATTGCCAATCCACGGACTACAGCCGGACAAATACAGCCGAACAGCTGGGACACATTAGTTCTCTCCAGAGACTTATGGTTACGATTCCTCTACGCGTCCCTTCTCCCTCATGTCTGCTACACCCAATGACTTTGCGGACATTAATAGCCCTAATGAGAACCTATGGCGAGCTTCCCATGTCCTAGTCCGCGGCTGAGAATAGCACTGGGCATCCTCTCTCAATATCTCCTTGAGTCCGGGAGTTGGAGAGAGGAAGGAAGCTGGAAAATCACATTGGACCGCCGCGCCCCACAGGAACAGCAGGGCCCATACCCGCCATCCAGGGGATTGCACTCCTACATTAGCCCAGGAGTCTTGGTTTTCGGCCTGGCTTAACTTCCAGGTCATTCGTCTTCTTGCTGCGCCCTATTCGTCATAACGGATCTCTCTCAACCTTCCAATTTCCGTTCTATAACGGGTGTTAGAGAAATTGTGGTAAGGTCCCGTTACTGGTATTCACCTAGACTACAACACCGGGTAGTTATGAGAGAGTCAGTACAGGTATGCCAGGCCAAAGAGGCTTTGGACATCATTCGGACCGACAAGCCAGGAGATCTGTCTGAGATGGAAAGAAACTACTTGCACGGGTTTTACTGATTGGTTCGGTATACTGGTACCGGTATCTCGTAAGTAGCTGCACTGCTCGGGCATGAAGGTGGGTGGCTGGATGGTTAGGGACGAGAGGTGCCGGTACTTGTATCACGGCTTCTTGCTTGTTTGAGCAAAATCCATGGCTAGTCGATTCTTCTGATTCTTATGAGGGTACCGGTACGGTGGTTCAGGCCTCCAGAATTCCTAGCTCTCCAGCTTCCCATGTCCATCCCCGAACAACGCACGGTTCCATACTCTGAGGTTCGCCCTCGATTGGAAAATTAGAACGGCTTACCGGTACTCGAGGCGATGACACTGCTCTTCAAGCTCACTTCTCTAGTACTTACCGGTACGGTGATCGAGAACCTATTTCCCAGTAATTCTCATGGCTACCCTAACATAGAGCACTGTAGGATACAGGTACGATTATTAATCCAGCCTCCGTTTAATCTGATCTGGGGTGTTGCTCTTGCATCAGGGCCCGTCCGCCGGGAGGGGAATATGTGGGGGGTTTTCCGCGATAACCTATTACACGGGAGGACCAAAGAATGTACTACCGGTAGTACGGTACCTCTTTGAAGCGAATAGGGGGTTATGGTTTTTGTGCGAGTACCGTACCAGCATAGTACCGGTATAAAGAATGGTCTGTGTGGGCTGCTCACGATCGCTATTGAATACAGGTACCGGTATCGTGCCTGGTTCTTGCTGTTTCTAGAGGAGCGTATACCGCAGAGGCTAGAATACTAGTAGTTTGGGCATGTGCAATGCAGTCGAAACTCCCTGCTCCAGAACACTCGTAGGGGTAGGAGCGAAAAACACGGGAAGAGGTGAGCAGCTCCGGGGCAATCCAGTTTATACGGTATTCAGAGTGCTTTCTTCCCCTATTTGCACTCGTAAAGTCGGGTGTGATACTGTACTCGAGTACTGACCTTTTTTAAAGTCTCCAAATTGGGAAATAATAAAAGGACTTGCCCATGGTGCACTTTATGGCTTCACCTTGCCGAAATTTGCAGGAACTCGCAGCAACCCGTGCAACGGGCCCATAACTCACGTTCCGGAGAATTTACAAATGATAGGTTCTTGCGCTTGAGTATAACCATTTGCAGGGTTATTCAACATCTCATATCATATCGTATCATACCCGAATACCGGTTTCACTGAATTTAGGGCTAAGGGATCGGGTTGATAGGACACCATACTCAACACACTATGATTTGTTACGGTATTTGTTGCATCTGTTTGTTGTGACCACAATTATAATGCATTAATACGTACATACTCGAGCACCTTTTTTTCTCCATCGACACAAATGAGGGGTCCTTTCATGATATTTTTTTCTCTCCGAGAATTGGATAGTGGAAGTGATGAGGGATGACCATTAGGGATCAGAGAGCTTCGATTTTGTCCAGGCATGTCTCAGCACTTAAGCGATCGTCTCGTATTCCCAGTATTGTAGCATAGGGCTAGCTGCGTTGGTAGCCTCATAGTTAACTTTAATAATTTATCCCGTGCCGACAGGACCAATCGTTTCGGAACATCACCTCATTGGGTTGGTGGGGTTATCAACACCCAGCTCTTTGGCGAATCTCCCTGTTCAAACTTCAAACTGCTCGCGCTGTACCGGTAGACAACTTCCGAGGCTCGCACTGACCCTCATTAACCGTCACCTTGTTTGGGATCTTGTTGAATGTCCGCGTATACTCGAGTAGGAGCTACGTGCGGGATTCGGATTACCGGTAATGGATCAAACTATAAGTTACCAGCATTGCAGGTTCGTTCTCAGCAAGCAGAGTGAGTACTGTATATACTAGTCCAAGTACAGTACCAATAGGCGCCACTACCTGTATCACGTGCTTGACCACTGCGCCCCACTTGACTAGCGTTTATGCCTGAGCGATTGTGCAATACCGTACTGTACTAGTACCCTGGTACAATATAGCGCCGTAAGGACTCGAATGATCTGATCAAGTGCTACCAGTACTCGTACAGTATGTCGATAGATTTGCCTCCTCGGCGGAGATCTGGTGCTACTTGCTTTTTGAGTTTCTCGGAGGGGCCGAGTAGCGCTTTGTTTTCCCAAATACTAGTACCAGTGCGGTGATCCCGCCCCCTTTTCCAAAGTAGGGAATTCTAGACTACACGGCTCATAGTTCGATTATTTGAGTTTCCACGGCGCCGATCAAGCCAAACCGTGGCCGAGCCTAGGGGTTGGTATAGTACTTCATTTCTTCAGGAAGCGAGCTGTACTCGAGTGCTCGTACGACCACAGCAAGGCTTTCTCTACCGCATTCCTCAATAGCTCTCCGGCTCGCGACAAGGGAACCCGCTGTCGACATGCTTTAACTGGCAAAGGAACTTTTCCGTAAAGATTCCTGTGGGATTGTTCACCTAGCATGGAGCGGTCCATGATGCCCAACCCTCTTCGGAATTCGATGTGATGGTCGTGATAACGGTATTGCAGAGGATTGGTGCTATTGGGATGCTGGAACCGGAGTTTGGCAAGTCCTTAGTACCGGTATCTCGTATCGAATTCCCCGATCACCGGTTCTTTTGGTGTCATCTAGTTCTTCGGGGTATCGAGGAGAATTGTGGAAATGGGAGGAACGTGTGAGCACTCCTCTGGTGATTTAGGCTTTGGAAAGGCTTATCATTACTTTGCGGGAGGCCGCATTACCTGAGACGGACCTTAACTCCGTGTCGACGGTTTGTGCGCTGCAGGTGGTGGTTGACTATTCACTTCCCCGGTACTGTATGCTATGTATCCAATCCGGGATATTCCTAGGTGGTGTGTTGCGGTACCAGAGAGTACAGTACTCTGGCGATGGACTTTCCTAGGAAAGGCTGCTCGGCCCCCGCCAGATTTATCCGACGGCCCTTCCTCTTGTCGCAAAATTGTGCTATCACGGCTTAGAACTTTAGAGCGCTCGTGTTGGCTGGAATTTAGCTTGCCTTCCCGGGTATATAACACAAAGATGCTTCTCACCTCCGATAGCTCTTCACGACACTGTGTCTTTCACATTCCCTAGAATCTATCTTCCCTTGTCTGAGGCTCCTTTCTTTCAGTTATCTTCAACTCACTCTTTTTGTTGTAGATTTTGATTCGCTCTTTTGGACTGGTATCCTTTTTTTTTTTTTTGACAAACACAACACAGATAGATACAACAGCATTTCTACCTTTTTCGATCATCATCAATCAACTCGTCGGAATGGTTAAATTCGTCTACGCTTTCTCTGCTCTTGCTGCCCTTATTGGTGCTGCCAACGCCCACACCCGGGTTTACGGTGTCTACGTCAATGATGTCTTCCAGGGTGATGGTCGTTCAACCTACATCCGTTCTCCTCCCAGCAACTCTCCGGTGAAGGACGTTTCTTCCCCCGACATCGTCTGCAACGTTGCCAATACGCCAGCGCCTTCAAGTGTTACTGCTGCCGCTGGCGATAAAATTACCTTTGAGTGGTATCACGATAAGTAAGAATTCCTAACCGCTATGTTTGAACACAGCTGACAATTCTACAGTCGTGGGGACGACATCATCGACCTCTCCCACAAGGGGCCCATCACCGTCTACATTGCTCCAGCAGCTTCGCAAGGCGCCGGCAACGTCTGGACAAAGATCGCGGAGTCCGGACTTAGCGGGGGAAAGTGGGCGGTGGAGACCCTCGTCGCCAATGGCGGAAAGCACGATGTCACCCTACCCTTAGCGTTGGCCACTGGAGACTACCTTCTGAGAGCCGAGATCATTGCTCTCCACGAGTCGGACACCGATTACACAGTTAATCCTGCTCGTGGAGCTCAATTCTACCCATCATGCTCGCAGCTCAAGGTGACCGGTTCCGGAACTGTCACTCCTGCCGGTACTTTCAGCTTCGTTGGTGGTTACACCCCCACTGACCCTGGAATTCTCTTCAACTTGTATGGTGGCGCCACCAGCTACCAAATCCCTGGACCCACTGTGTGGGATGGGAAGACCGGCGGTTCTGTTCCTGCTCCTTCAAGTGCTCTTACTCTTTCTACCACCCGTGCTGTCACCACTGCTCCTCCTGCTACCTCCGCGCCGATAGCAACCTCCGTTGCCGCTCCAGGGCGGACCAGCTCTGCCGCCCCCCCTGCCGCTCCCTCAGCCACTAAGCCTGCAAGCAGTACCCCCGGCACAGTAGCCAAGTACCACCAGTGTGGCGGAAATATGCACACTAGCGGAACTGACTGCGTAGCTGGTACCAAGTGCACATTCCTGAACGAGTACTACTCTCAGTGCTTATAGGCCATTTCTTGATTGAAAAAATATTTCTTTATTATTATTTCTAGTGTATTGTCTTGTTAGGATGTCTTGTGGGGAAGATGTTTGCTGGCTCGGGAGCTAGGGTTCAAACTATCTTGGGCTCTTTGGTTTAGTTTTTTTTGGGGTGGGGATGTCAGTGCTTATTCTTGTATTCTATTTTATTTTATCGTGCGCTTATAGAGGATTTTATTTTGGCTAGTGGGAAAAGTTGTGAATATAGTTGAAGTGAGTGGCTTGACACTTGCTTACCGGTATCTCACTCGTACCTTATCAGACTTTAATTCACTTCCGGTGGCTTCGGGAGAACGCCTCCCTAGGTGATTGGCACTTTCTTCACTATTCTACTTGTACCCCCATCTCCAACAAATCCGCTCATATAGCTCATAATGCTCGTGCAAAAATTCTCCCCAAATCGATAGATAAATTCCAGGGAGGCTAACCTAATTTTTTTTTTCCATTCCGCCATTAACTGCACACGTATGATCGTAATGACGGGTTTCTGATTCCCGATACTCCCCGTAGACCTCCCTCCTTTCTTACGCTGTATGCGGTGCATTTGGAAGGGTTGTTTGCACCGTGCCTGCCCCCCCCTCGGTGCTACAGTCAGTTAGTCGCACTCATCCGCACTTGACGCTGACAATGGTGTGTTCGCTTCGGAAACATTCGTAACTTAACTCGCCGGGAGGCCAGAAGGGTAAAAAATAAAAAAGATCTCTTTTGACACCGGCAGGTAGATGGATTGGATTGGATTTGAGGGCGGGCGCCTGATCCCTCGAGTATCTCCCCTGTTCAAAGCAAAGTCGACTGAGGTACGGTATAATATATAGGGGAATGCGGATCCTCTCGCGACCAGGTCTCGGGGATGGATCGCTGTTACTGAAATTTTACTGGAGTTACGGATCGTATGATACTCGTATCGTTACGGCATTAACGTTAGCCGCAGTGAGAGAAGTTTGTACCGGTGCTGGGGTGTTGGAAGTCCCCCCCCCCTGCAAGTAGGAATGTTAATTTTGTTCTGCTGGTTTCATCATAGGATATTTTCTCCCGTTCCCGTTAGTACGGTACTGGGAACCTAATCCCCCCAAGGCTTACTTTTAACTATTTTATTACTGCACTTATCCCTGACGATTTTAGCCTAGCTAATCGAGTATCACAGAGGGGGGGGGATTGGTTAGTACAACGGAGTTAAGTCACAGATCCTGTTCTTACAACCGGTCAATCACCGCATCGGTAAATTAGTTGCTGGTTGGATTTGATTGCTGTGTCTCGCTCGACGTCCGCTTCCGTCTTCCAAGGCGTACGGTAGCTCCTGCAACGAATCGGAGGCCAAACAGCGGGTTACTAATCGCGCGATGGATCTCCGCAAACGTCATACCCCGCCCCTCAAAGCGTGTTTAAATTCTCCCCATATTCCCACCACCGCCTTTAGGTGAATTCGCGAACGAAGTAGTTATCGACGAAGTAGAAGGGAGTTTCGTCCAATTGCTGCTGTACGAGGATTATACAAAAAAAAATCCAAGAAGGAAAAAAGAGAAAAGAACGATGGCACCGAGAGTCCTCTTCGTCCTGTCCTCCCAAAAGGTTCTTGGCGATACTGGGAGGCCGACGGGGTGGTATTTGGTATTTCCTTCTCTCTATCTCTCTCTTTCTCTGCTGCCTTGAGAAAACGGATTGAGAACACTGAGTATCGAGCACTGATTACAAAATAGCCCGAGTTTGCTCATCCATACCACGTCCTCTCCCCGCATGTCACCATCTCCGTCGCCTCACCGGCTGGCGGAGAAGCACCTCTCGACCCATCCAGCGTGGAAATGTTCAAGGCCGACGAGATCGCGGTCAAGTTCCTCAACGAGAAGAGTGAGCTATGGAAGGACACTATCAAGCTGGAGGGCTTGAAGGCTGAGGACTACGACGGCATCTTTTTCGTCGGTGGTCACGGGCGTATGTTCTCTTCTGCCTTCAAACTAGCAGTGAGCGGTGCAATAGCGCTAATCGTGGATGGGAATAGCAATGTTCGACATCGCCCGCGTGCCCACAGTTATCTCGCTCATCAGGGCGTTCGCCGATGCGGATAAGCTCGTCGGTGCGGTCTGTCATGGATCCGCCGCGCTTCTGGACGTTGAGCTTTCTGGTGGGAAGCTCTTGATCGACGGTGAGCCGGTGACTGGGTTTTCAAACACGGAAGAGGACGCCACAGGCCTTTCCGGTGCAATGCCGTTCATGCTGGAGACGGAGCTGATGAGGAATGGGGCAAAGTATGAGAAGGCGGGTCAGCCCTGGGGAGAGAAGGTATGTGTCGGTAGGGGAGGGAAGCTCGTTACTGGTCAGAATCCGGCTAGCGCTGCCGGGGTCGGGGAGAAGATGAAGGTTGCTTTGGGGGTATAGGGACAGTGTGCGCTGTAGAGAGTGAGGCATCGATCCTGTAAGAGCCCGGGTTTCGTGTACCGTATCATAGTCATTAAATTTATTCAATGGCCTAAGGTGCGTCGTTTACATTCACGCAACGCCGGCGCCTACAGAAGAGCAGCCATTGCAGAAGCGGGAACGGGGCCCGGGGCCGCAGAAAACGTCGTCCTCAAGATCCGTCATACTTTTCTCGTCTCTCATCAAGCGAAAACTCACCTCCCAGAAAGCCTCAGGGTTGGACTGGGTGTGCCAGCGAATCGGAGATTATTGGAGGGGAGGGGAGACATGCTTTTGCTGTGGGAGGGTGAAGTGATGTGAAGTGATTATTAATTTCGACTGTATCATACGAGCACCTTTCTCCTTAGGGGTTTCGGGATTTGTGAGTGGGTTGAGCATTGGTTGCGAGGTTAGAGTGTCATACTGATGGTAATGTAGTGCGTGTGATCTAGCGGGTTAGGGGAGCTGAGCACCGCGCCAAACCCGACCGCGGGGAAAGCGCCCCGGCTGACGAGGATACCGGTTTAAGGCACAGCAAGCACAGTGTATTATGGTGCAGTCCATGTCATGGTGAAGTAAGACGGTGTCTAGGACTGGGGTTTTCGATATTCACCATGGGAGGGTATCTATCTATCTACCTAACACCCATTCCTATCGCTACCTGCTCGCTGTGTGTAAGGCAATTGTGATCTGTTGTTTTTCTTTTTTTCGACTTACACCTCGTGCAGTCTCTACCCCTGTAGCACCAGGAGGATTGGCAGAGAATATCCCTGCTTGAATTTTCAACCTCAGTGCATCGCCGTGACATTTATTTATCACAATATTATTATTATAGTTTCTCTGATGCTAGCTGCCCTGCCCACCGCGGTACCAGTATGGTATATCCTGGCTGCTGGGAATTTGTGCTCGGTTATGATACCCTAGCGTGCTCGGAGCTGTAACTTCCGGTGGAGCAATTCTCCGTTGTGTATGATACCGGCACTGCTCATCCCATGGACTGACGAGACATACAGATTCAGGACCTTCCATTAAAGGAGAGCCGCACAGCGCTTCAAGATAACACCGCTATCCCTCCATCATACGACTCCGGGCCGAAATCATATTCTGCTGATTAATTTACAGTATTTCTAACGGATGCATAGGTTCATGGGATAAACGAATCTCTTTGCTCTTTCCATCACTAGCGGCTCTTGGGGAGAGAGGGGGGAGGTGGAGGGGACTAAATTGTATCGGGATGACCTGCCGTGTCCTCAAAAGTGGTAAAAGCCATGGTGGCGAATCACTAGGGGTATTCAAAGTTGAAAAACTTGAAAAAAAGTAGCTTACTTTGCTGTTTCGTGTAAGCTTGGCAGACACAAAAACAGTTACTTTACTCTCATTTTACTTTACCATACCATACTTTTTTTTGGTTAGATACGGAGGTCTGGAGGTCCGTATCTACTCCAAAATCTGTATCAACTGAACTCTACCAGAACTTCAATATGATACATGATCTGAAAAGAAATTTTTAAAAAATCAGAGGAAAATCTTAAAATATTATCACACACTTTAAAAATAATTATCTGCTTTCTCTGACAAAAATCTCTTCACTTGGGCATTTTGTTAACAAATACTGAAAATTTTCAGTATCGGTAAGATCTGTGAAAACTTCTACCCTCTACCTTCAGTTACCTTGGGGCATTCAAATATGCTACATGAAACATATGGATATGATTGGCTAACACTGTAAAGTAACCTAATGCACCTGCTAGTAGTTACTCGTTACTGAAAAATCATCTTTTCAACTTTGAATACCCCTACTCTGTGGGCGTACGAGTACCTCTGCACTCTACGGAGGTGGGGCTCCAACTATCCTGGAATTTTGGCATCGTATCATACCGCTTGGCCCACCTTACGATATCCTTTTGGGCAGGAGAATTGCTAACTGTTTATGGATAGCGTTGTGGGTTTCGAGTTTTTGTTGGGGGGGATTTTTGTTACTTCTCCGGCTCCCATCTCGGTACGGTATACCTCGGCTTTCTTCTGCTACGTCACTGCACCCGGGTGTGTCTATAAAGGCCGGGGAGCCTAACCTCCGTCCCCCATACATTTAGACGAGACCAGAAGATATACTCGTACTGGTATCATAGCTTTCCTGTTTTTGCTGCCAAGCCCCGGCCTGTGTTTTCCTCGAGTGCTCAATCTCACCCAACCCCATTCCCATACTGGAATCCCACTCTAGGTCACTTCCGTCCCCGTCCGGTACCCCGCTGCAAATGAGGGAGCTTGCACCACACCCACACAGGCGGGCAGAGTCAGCAACGGGATAGTTCATTTGCCCTAACCGTAGGACGCGGATGGACTATAATTCAGTTGTCCGTTTGGGGGATGATGATCACTTCCCCCAAGAATTTGGCTAAAGTGGAAGGTGGGAAAGATTACGGACTCGGATATGGAGGGTGTCGGGGCGCTGGAACGTGGAACGCCGGGAAAACCTGCCGGGATTGTGTTTGACCGACCCCCACGGTTTCAGCAGAGGCTAAAAGCTCACTAAGGTCCCCCGGGCTCTAAGTAATCTGAGCCTATATGGTTGCGAGGTGGTTTATCTCCTTGTCGGGCTGCTGTGCTTATAGAAAATTGCTTTCCTCCAAATTGGTGGGGCTGGACAGACTGCCGATTGTGGTCCTGCCCTGGCCAGTTTTCGTGACCACCTCACCAGCGGGCGGACAGGGTCCATGAACATTTGCGAACCCTGGTTCAGGCGATTATGGAATATCATGAGAGGCGTAGGAGCTGTCGTTTTTGGGTTTGCACAATTTGGGTGTGAGGAGGGAGAAGAGAGCAGGGTTGGGTTTTAACTCTTAGCTGGATCGAAGTTTGAGTTTGGCTCTATTCCGGGGGGATGAGGGGCCAGTGTTTGGACTCCTGAAACTCACTGGATCACAGTTGGTAATCTGAGCGCAGGAAGTTGAAGGATGTTGGACGTGGTTGGGAGTAGAATTTATCCTTATTCAGTGCTTAGAGGGTCCTGGAGATAAGTGGGAGAACTAGAAACAGGTTTGCGTAGTTGATATCCTGTCTCCTGCCCCCCCCCCCGGACTGCTGGGTGGATAGGGACTGGCTGGACATGGGGAAAGTATCCGGAACATATTATGCCGGTATTTTCTCCCAAAGACTTTCGCTAGATAACTGGCGGCGGGCGGTTGACAGAAGTGCGAAGGCTCCTGTTACTGTACCGCAAATTAATCGTACCTTTTTGCTTCTTCCTCTCCTGGCTCATCTGTTATGATTGACGGCACACCCTGCGTGGATGGGTGGGCTAGTTTTTGCTAGCGGATTTTTGGAGTGTTTGCTGTTGGACTCTCTCCAGGTACAGCAGATACACCTAGATCCCCAGGCGTCAAGAAGTGGAAGATTTGGGAAAGAGTCATTGACTTGATTTGCCAACACCAGGGATGCTGGCCTTGGGCTGGGGTCATTGATTTTTACAAGGGAGATGCCTCTGATTCTCTGCTTTCAATACCGGGGGAAAACGCTTGGAAGGAACTGCTTTGAATGATGCTATTGTGGAAAGGTTGTAGAGGTAAAATTTGTCAGGTTGGCTCTTGTCCTGGTCAGATCAGTGTCTGGGTGTTAGGGGATTTGGCATGTGTAATGCGAATATATAACGAGAGATGCTGTGGATGAGCCCATCGCAGAGGATCGAGTATCGAATTATCGGGCGGGGCAGTTTGCTGGGTAGGTGGGAGCGCCAGCTACACCGGATCAGAAATACGCAGACAATCCCTAGAAGGCTTTCCAACAGAGTGGGGGTCAGTGAAGTCACCAACTGCGCCGCGATATCTGGCGTGTACCTTCTGGTCTCCCAGTGTATCTGACATTCCGCCATACCCAGCCAACCGCTCTTCCCAGAGATGCGACAATACTAGTATTGGGGAAACGCGACTTCCTTCTGAAGACCGGGTTATTCTGGACACTCACCAGCCGCCCAGGGATATTAGAAATCCAAGGAGTTGGCAGTTCGGGGGCACTGTTACAAGGAAATTTCGGTTCCAGCAGTTGTAGGTGCGGACTCGTTTGGCCGGAGATTTTTGAGAGCTATGCAGGTAATGCCTGGAAGTGGGTGAAGACGTCTGCCGTAAGCATAGTATAGTGCTTGAGTACAAGAGGAATGTGCTATGTCGTTGAAACCCCCTCAAGGATAGGGGTACCAGGTGCAAGTCACTCTAAATATAACCATCAGCCAGGACAAAAAAAGAGAGGGATACACAGCGCCTTACCGCGAGAGATAGTTACAACGTCGTAGTGAATTTCTCTTGTTTTTCAGCAGTTGCGGCATGGCGGCGAGACGATTTTCAGGCCATGGTTCTTCGATGCTTGAGATAATCGGTCGAATGGAATTGATGCCGTACATGTTCCTAAAAGACGGAGGGATGATTGGAGGAGCGGTAGGTATAGCGGACGAAACTAGTTTCACCCTAACGACAATCTCCTGGCTGATATCAATGTGCGGGAGTTTCCAATTTCTCTAATGTCCGAGCATGTAGCTAGAGATACCCCACCACTTCCCCCACTAAATTTAGTGAGCCTACGAGTAGCGAGCACTCGTGTCTCCGCGTGGCGATTGGCATCCGCTTGGCTCTTCTATGGCCTCCTAGTAGTTGTTCCGAAAAGGGTGTCATTCCGGCTGCGGTGACGAGAGGGAAGTAAGTACTTTGTACAGCGACGAGACCCCCGGTGACCTGCGCTAGAATGAACCGGACAACACGTTGCCCCCGTTGTGGACAATTGGTGCCGTACTGTATGCTCTGCCAGTTGCGTGCAGTGCCGAAAACGGGTTCTCACAATATAAGGATCTGATGTCGGATAAGGGGGTTCGTATGCGTATGATTGAAAGTGCTGGAAAATTAGGTTTCCTTATCACAAGCAGGGATCAGATGGCGAACCTGTAGAGATTTAAGGGTGGTCATACAAGAGGCTCGAGGCGAGGTTCTGACAGCGCGCTCGGGTATGAGGAAGTTTGTAAGCAGTGGAACGCCAGTGGTCGGTTTCAAAAGCATCCGGACGCTTTTGAGTTCGGGGACAGGTGGTACCAGGGAGACAATTTGGGTGGATCTGCAACACGGGTGTTATTGTCGAGGCTGGGAGCGAATTGTGTGTGTTCAACATATTCGAGCAGATTGGGTTTTCCTTTCTTCCACTATGTGCCATGTGCAAATGCTCTCCCCACATATCTGTACATCTTCATTGAGATATGCCGTACAGTGCCTTACTAAACTGGCTCGACTGATGGCAACTGTATCGTGTTATCGTGTTATCGGATGGCACGCTATGTAAGCTCAACGCATTTGAGCGGGTGGCTGTCAGTGGCGGCGGTATGGAGCAACTTATTGTTATGAGGGAGGGCGAGGCGGCTGATAAAATAGAGATAAAGAGAATAGATGTTTCTTGATGCTCGTATTGCTTGTGCTACTTTTTTTCTATCTGAGGGATAGCAGGGGATTTATATAGACACTCCTAGATACAACTCCTAACTAATATCTCTTCCACCCGTACACCCACAGATGTGGCATTTCACATGAGTCCGAGGCCCTTCCAGCAATTTTCCCATCCTCCGAGGTTGATGCTACCTAGTGTCCCACATAGGCCAATCCTGAGATAATCCCAATCCATCGAAGACTCCCGAAGAGCACCGAAGACTACCGAAGACCTCCGAAGACTGCCTGAAACCCCACGAAGCATAATATGAGACGACACTAAGAAACTGGTACAGTACATGAGAAAGACAACAGCACACCCTAGCTACGGCATCGACAACTAAATCTTCTCTTTCTGAGATCCGGAACACTTCAAGAATGAGTACCGGTGATTTTCAACACAACTGAGGAAAGGGTAGTGATAGCTATTACCGGGGTGAAGAGGTCAGCGCTCAAGCGTGAGTTAGAGGTGTATATGAACAAACCGAAGCGGAGTCAAGCTCGTTTTTTTCTGAACGCACTTGAATTTGATAGTGTATAGCAAGAGTGTCGTCCTGTGGTAAACTTAATTTCTTGCAGAGTTCACTTTCGGAGCTGTTCATGAGATTTGCTCTGCTGTCACGGTTGGCTATTTGACTCCGGATCCTGGGTTATCCTAGGCTTTGGGATAAGACTATTCATCGTGTTGGCCTGGTCTTTGAACTGTTGCTTAGGTTAGCTGCGGGAATAGTATTTAGCTTTGGAAGCTTACTTCTCAATTACTTGAAGGATAGGCTAGGGTAGATTGGGGTGAATGTTCATCATAATGCAGGATTTGTGCTGTGTTCCGGTACTGTACTGTGCTGTGGAATGGGGCTTAGGGGGGTGTGAGATGCGCTGCTGGGTTCTCGGTGAGGTAGGCACCAGCAGGATGTTGGTAGCACAAACTTGGAGGAGATTGATTGGACCGTTCTAGGGTACTGAGGAGGTTCCACCAAAAACCCCGCTCCTGTTCAGCCCCCTGACTTCTGGTATCGTACCGGTAACCGACAGACTCCATCACCCATCGCCTGTGCCATCTTGAACGGCAAAGACCCGAAGATGTCTCGATCCTTCAGCAATAATATCAACTCTTTCAATACGACCGTTAACGTATCGAATTACCTTACCGTTGCCGATGGCCGGTCTAATATCTTAGCCTGGTTATCCCCGCTTGATCCTAGACTACGGCATCAGGACATTCAAGACCGTCGGATCGAAGATGTGGGGGAGTGGCTCTTACAAACAGAGCAGTTTAAGAACTGGTGCAACGGTAGTGAAAATGGATGCGATAACAGAGTTTTGTTTTGCTATGGAGATCCGGGGGTCGGCAAGACTTTTATCAGGTAACAAGGACGAGCCTCGGGGAGTGGGAGAGAAAGTGCGGATGCTAACAAGCTGGGGTGATAGCTCATTGGTGATAGACAGCTTGTGTGATCAGGCTGTAGGACAAGGTGCTGCCGTTGCATGCTTTTATTTTGACTTCGCTGTTCAGAAGGAGCAATCGCCTACGAGAATTCTGGGCGCCCTGTTGAAACAACTTGTTGCCGGATTAGAGGTGATCCCAGAGGAGATATCGCGAGTATACCAAGGCCAAAAAAAAGCCATCGGTGGGCGGGGACCGCAACTTCTCGATCTCGTAAAGATGCTGCAGACCACCTCTTCCAAAGAGCGCACATTCATATGCATCGACGCTTTGGATGAGTGTGTGGCAGAGCATCGAGTCAAGCTTCTCAATTCGATTGGTCAAATTCTTCAAAAGTCTCCGGATACTCGAATATTCGTGACTGGGAGGTCGCACATTCGGGCCGAGATCGGAAGTCGTCTGGCTGGAAGAATAACCAGCGTATTGCTGGGCCCCAAAAGGCTTGATATAATCAGATATCTTCAGGCCAGGCTGGCCGAGGATACAATCCCGGATGCGATGGACAGCTGCTTGGAGGCGGACATACTGAGGAAGATTCCCGATGAGATTTCTGAAATGTGCGTAGGGGTAGCGACACTGTGGGAGCTGCCTCGGATAATCTGCTGACCGATATAGATTCCTCCTTGTCTCACTGAATATCGATGCGATCCTTCAAGAAACCACAATCCACCGCAGGCGACAAAAGCTCAACGAAATGACTGATGGCTTGGGGTTGGGGGGTGCCTATAGTGCAACGTTGGATCGGATAAAGGGGCAGGGCGGGGAGAGGTCGAGGCTCGGCATGGCCGCTTTGATGTGGATATCCCACTCGGAGCGGCCCTTGAAGGCCGATGAATTGTGCCATGCCCTAGCAGTCGAAATAGGATTGTCGGATCTCAATGCCGACAATGTTCCTTCAATAGGGACATTACTAGTCTGTTGTCAAGGGCTTGTTGCGGTAGACAGGGAGGCTTCCACGGTCCGGTTAATCCACTTTACCCTTCACGAGTACCTCCGGTCTCCTGGCGGGATTTTTGGTACAGCTCACTCGATAATTGCAGAAACCTGCTTAAGTTATCTGAACTCCCGACAGGTTAAGGCTCTTTCCACCAATTCCTTTCCTGATCTCCATAGCACACCCTTTCTTGAATATTCATCCCTATATTGGGGAGTACATGCAAAACGAGACCTTTCCGATTGCGCGAAAACTCTTGCGTTTCAGCTATTTGACGACTACAATAATCACCTATCCACCCAGATCCTCCTAAAAGCACAGAGATGGTATTCGTATGTTGCTGATCTCGATAAATCTTCCCTGTTCAGTGGCCTACACTGTGCATCCATTTTCGGGATTGTTGAGATAGTAGCTGGTTTGGTAGAGGTGGAAGGTTGCGATATCAACCAGACAGATTGTGCGGGCAATACACCTCTCATATGGGCTGCTTGGAATGGGCACGAAGGAGTTGTTGAAGCACTGCTCGGATGGAGCGAGATCATCCCCGACAAACCTGATGTGTACGGCCGGACACCACTCTATTGCTCTGCTTGGAATGGGCACGATGGGGTGGTAAAAATTCTACTCAGGCGGGACGGCGTCAACCCCGACAAGTCAGATATGTGCGGTCAAACACCACTATCATGTGCTGCCGAGTGCGGGCACGAGGGAGTGGTGAAGATACTTCTCGGGCATGGCGATGTCAACCCCGATACACCAGATATGTGTGGCCGGACTCCGCTCTATTGTTCTGCTTGGAATGGGCACGGGGGAGTGGTAAAATTACTGCTCGGACGGGACAAGGTCGATCCCGACCAACAAAATGGGGACGGTCGAACGGCACTCTGGCGTGCCGCTTTGAGTGGGCACGAGGGAGTGGTGAGGATACTGCTCGGGCGGGACGACGTCAGCCCCGACAAACCAGATATGTGCGGCCAAACACCACTCTATTGTTCCGCCAGGAATGGACACGGGGAAGTGATGAAAATCCTCCTCGAACGGGACGACGTCAACCCCGACGAACAAAATATGTACGGACAAACACCCCTTTGGTGTGCGGCTTGGAATGGGCACAAGGAAGCGTTGAAACTTCTGCTTGGGCGGGACGGTGTCGACCCGGACAAGCCAGATAACGACGGCAAAACACCACTCTGGGGTGCGGCTGAATGTGGGCACCAGGGAGTGGTGAGAATACTGCTTGGACGTAACGATGTCAACCCCGACAAACGAGACAACGAGGGCCGAACCCCACTATGGTGTGCTGCTTGGAACGGGCACGAGAGAGTGGTGGAAATACTCCTGGGAAGGGACGGTGTTAACTCCAACATACTAGATATGTGCGGTGAAACGCCACTCTTGGCTGCTAGTAGAAATGGGCACGAGGGAGTGGTAAACATACTACTCAGGAAGGACGACGTTAACCCCGAAAAGACAGATAGCAGGGGAATAACACCGCTCTAGTGGGCTTCTGTAGGTGGCCATGCGGGGGTGATGGCGCTACTGCTACCCCCAGCACGGTATAAATCTAAGTAGGCATCGCCCTCTTTACCACTGCCGAACAGGGATAAGCTACCCACTTTTTCCGCAAGGGTAGTAACAACTCTATAAACGTGTCGCCTTAATTTCCTCCCTCCTCTCATTTGCATTCGACCTCCTCCCCGGGTTGGCACACCGCCTTATGGTAATTTCTTTCTTCCCTTGCCTTCTAGCATAAGCCTACCATAGAACCCAAGCTCAAACAGTAACGTCTAGTGGAAGGATACAGTGCCCAGTGGAAATATACACACCTATCACAGACCCGCCCAAACCTGTATACGGACTCCCGTACAGCCGGGCCAGGATCTGTCTGTTTCTGTTCATAGCCTAGAGTTCACTGTTGGCGGAAGGCTACTTACTTTTGCTGTGTTAAGATAAACCCCCCTAGGATGGAATTTCCATTATATTTCTTTTTTTTAGGCGCCTTCCCACTGCCAACTCTCCTCGCAAATCTTTTGTCAACTTAATATTTCTACAAATTCAGTTTTATCCTCCCTTCCTTTTGGGGTATAGACTCAAAGGTTGTTTCAATATTATAGAGAAAAAAGTATCAAGTTACTGTACTGTACCCACGTTTATGGCACTTATGGGAAGCGGCCTAAGAGCACAGTTGTTAAATGAGAATCGGGTCCCACACCTAGGTATGAGGCCTTGGTAGCGTGAGAAGGAGGTTGGGCGCAGGAGGGTACTACCGAGGAAGATCTAGGTTGGGTTCGATGGGTCTTCACCCGGGGCTTAAAGTCTTAATTGCGAATTTATTTAAAAAGATAAAAAATTGGTTTCCCTTCTTCCTCGCCAGCACCCAACACGGGGACCCCGCCACATCCCCCACCTCCATTGAGATCTACTGCATTTTCTTCTTCTTCTACATACCAGCCCACCTAACGGAGTCTAGGGGGTTCACAGTAAAGTATTTACCATATAAGATTGTATCGCATCTGGCGCCATGTAGTCCTGCCATTAGGACCTAACTCTGACTCGAGTGATACCCGGTGACCAAGCTATTTCGGAAACTACAATTACCGGGTAGCGAGTAGCCACAGGGGCCGATCAAGTAATAGTAGCCACAGGGGCCGATCAAGTAATAGTAGCGGAGAGGGGTATATCACGACAAACGGCTGGGGATTTCAGCCACCGGTTAGTTTTGGGGGGTGGGGGGGACTTCTAGCACTGGACGTCTGCGAAGCGTCCAGAGTGGCAATCCCTGAACTGAGCAAGATGGGAGGCACCGTCAACAAATTTCCCCAAAAACATTTCCATGTTCCTATAGCGGGAAGAGCTGAGGACGAAGCTGGTTGGTTGTTATTTCGAGCCTGTTGTGCTGTGCTGGTGCTCAGTAACAGCCCTGTTTGCCATATGTCTTGAACGTGCGCCAGATTTGCTCTCGTGATTAATAGGCTTGAGCGGTTCGAGCCTTGATGTGAGCTAATCTGTATTATGACATCACTCGCATCCAACTTGAAATCTGGAAGAATAGTTGAGACTGTCCATAGCAGTTGCTCTGAGGGGCTCATTAAGAAAACTAGATGTTTGGAAAGGTAGTGGGAGCAGTGGAAGTATGGCAGTCATGAAAGGAGGGAGTGTGATACTGTCTTGGGACTCCCACAAAAGTCCGACAATTATGAAATTTGTAAATCTCAGCTATTTGACAGAGTAAAATAAGTCTCTGAATCAGGATTTCATGACTCATCTGCACGTCTAAATTATGAGATTTCCTACAGTTCCAATTTTGTTACTAGCTTCCAATGGTTTTCTTTCTGTTATCTTACCAGTGCTTCTTATATCTATTTTTATTACCTGTTCTTTCAGGTTGTGCTTCTTTACGGTTCATGAGGCATTCTATTTCTCTATAGACTGCTGATCAGATCACCTCCTAGGGTCTAGGGTATGGCAATTGGCTTCAAGTTGTAGTGCATGATGTTATGGTTTCCTCGCCCTCTGAGTTATGCTCAGATAATGTTTCCCGGAGAGTTCCTCGTTGGTGATTGTTATGGCTGGAGGGCCCCCCATAATCAGGACTGAAGCAATGTATTGACAGTGGCACGAAAGTTGTTGGCAAAATTGGTGGTATCATAATGCACCCGTAGATGGCGCATGTTACCCTCTCTTCCCTTCTGTCAAATTATGTACAGTGTTCTCAACCGTCCGGGGCAGTGAAAATGCAGGACGGGCGGCTTTAGGTAGAACGGGGGGCCCTACAGGGTGAAACATTGGTGGTCGAGGGGACGGTGGGGGACTACCTAGGACTGCCAGGGACAACACATTTTATTACAAGTAACCTCCGATATTGCTGAAGCGTTGGGCCGACAAGGTCTTTTTGTTCATAAGAACTCGGGCTATAAGATGGTAGCCCACAGTAGTCCGTCTGCTTCTGCCGTCTCCGGGCATAGTCCGTCCTAGCACTCTGAAAAGACAGAATACAGTCTATTGTCCGTCCCGTCCTACCCCAAAGACAGATGAACTAGACAGTTGCGAACAATGATTATGCAGCAGAATATGGTGCTACCCTCAGACTTATCAGATATTTGGGCCGTTTGGATCGCCGTCGATTGAGCCGTTCATCCATCAAAAATGGTGTTCGGGCCAATTTGAAGTTACAGAATTAAGTTAATGATAGGTGCTAATACATGCTGAAGGACATGTTAAGTCAATTTTTTAGCAAGGTAACAGCTCCAGAACGCGTTTTGGCTGGGCGGCGAGCAAAACTGGGCCTAAGTATCTGACCATCTTATCGGCCATCTTGCCAGATGTTTTTTTTTTTTTGCTCTCCTGAACACTGCCCCGTACCAGGTTTGGTGGAATGGAAAGAAGTGCCGGTGATCATACATTGGTACCTCATGCAATAGTACCGGTATCATATCTGAAATATCTCAAGAACGAAGGTGGATTGTAGGAGCTTTACTGCAGCTAATGTCATATATTTCTGCCGCTGTTGTAATCTGTTCAGGGAGCGCAAAATAGTAATCAAACCAAGTGCCGTGAGGGGACAAAGAATATCCACAAAATTAAAAAGAAAAGCAACAGCCATTAAATCGGATGATCCCTTCTCCCTTGCTCTCGGCGAGGAGGCTACCCAAATGTAACCTCCTCTCCCTCCCTCCCTTTCCATTCCAGTCCCTTCAGCCAGCAGTCTATTCATCCACCTATTATTATATTATTCCGCCCTTTACTGCTCCCCCGGCTTCTTCGAATTGCATGAGACAATTTTAACCTTGCGAGTAGAAACCGTGGGCTTGTCTTTTTGCGGGAATTTGAACGTAACGTCGGTAACTAGGAAGGTCCAAACATCGTCACAGAAACGATACGTATCCAAGTGACCCTAAAAACACACCCCCACAGCGGTTAGCCCACTACATCCCTCTCCTGTTTGCTTCTGTGATGGTGGACGGGGTAGTGAAGTAACCAAGAAAAAGAAAAAAAAATCGAACCTTGAAACTCAAGTTGGCCTTAACCTTACTCGCCAGGACCTCAGCAATGCCTCGGTCGAAGTTGCACAGAACTTTTATGGCGAGCTGTGGAGTGAGACGCCCCTTGCTGATCATATCGTCGAGAGCGTCCATGAGGGACACTCCAATGCTAAGATACGCACCTCGTTAGCTGGCAGAAGTAGCAGCAGTCACAAAACAGCAGGGGTGGCTAGAAGGAATTGTCGAGTACCAAGAACGACGGTAGAGCTCGTAATAATGTTGATCGCTCATTTGTAAAAGCTCTCGTGAGTAGACAGACACTGATGCGTCGGATAAGAGGTGGTGGTGATGGTGATGTTATGAGCTGAGGAGGTTTCAATGGAGTTGTGTTTGTGATGGAGGTCTCTGGCATAGGCGTGCTCCTTTTATATACAGTCCTGCCAAGAGAAACTTGTGGCCGCGGTCATAGCCCGCTATTCCATATGTCGATAAATCCAGATATGGTACTTTGCTGTCCAGTATAGGCAATTGCGAACCCCAAATCCCTTTGCCCTCAAACCCGACCCGTTGTCGTGGATCACCCCCATTGCCCGACAGATTTTCTAAATCTTGGGAGCCCGGATAGCTCAATACGAGTGCGCTTCTCTTCTCCTCTGTAAACTGGTTGGGAACCCGTCCTACAGAATTGTGAAAACTCTTGAACTTTACTACCGGATGGAACTTATTAGCCCACGATAGGTTTAGTTTAACAAATTAACAGAATTGCGAGCACAGGTTAATGAGGTCCAACACATCCAGCGGGCTGGTCTCATACCGTATTGGGAAATCCCCAATCCATCTCCAGAGCTTTTGCCTCTAGGTTCGGAAAGTACGGGGCTGGCGGAGATAGCGGATTTTAAGAGTTTTTAGGGTACCTCAGAGGTGTTCGCGATGCAGGTGGTGGGGGATACCACCTTGTGGATACAGCGTAGAAACAGCAAGGTGGTGGGAAATATCCCTACTCTCGGAGCATGATATCCTGTATTACATGGAGATGATGCGCAAGAGTTGATCGGAGATATGATATCGTGAAAAAATTAAACCACTTTGAAAACTATATTCAACCTGATCCCCGGCACGGGGGAGCTTCACAGCCGCAGGTTATAAAAGCCACCATCGCCAACGAAAACTTCCAGAGTGCGATATCCAGAAATTTGTATGCTACACCTTTCTTCACAATATTGTTATACGAGAGACTAGATCTACTAACTTTGATATACCTTCTGCTAAAAACCTACACAAACTTCCAGGAAGGCAGCTACTAAGGGGGAAACCATAGCAATTATTATGCCAAGCCTTGTCAATGCTTTCCTCAGGTACTCAAGTCACCAGATTGAAGTCGTGTTTTTTTTTTTTGGTGGACCACAAAACGAGGACGACGTCAACCGTCAACCCGGCGACTTGAATATGATGGCCCCCCACGCAAAAGGGAGCGCAGGAAGTCCAAAGCCGGCATTCTTGGCATCTAGTCTTGACGCAAGGCTGGAGTAAATGCCCTGCCTCCCCTCCAGCCGTTGCCAAGAACTCAAGATTCTATAATCCCATTCATGCGGGGTGCGCTCGGTCTGATTTATTTGGTGGTGCTGCGGGAGCTCAAATGTGTGAAGAAAATTCCAAGCCGAGGCCTCAGAATTTCCCTTTTGGGAAAGCGCCGCATACTCTACTCTCTATTAAGGCAAAACATGAAGGAGGTATATGTGGTAACATAGGTGAGGGGACAGCAAACAGGGGGGGGTGGGGGGGGTGGGGGGGGGCAATGAACAGCACTACCAAATTTTATGTTCATTTGGCTGTCCCTACATGTCTCATTACTGACCGAGAGTTTAGCATTACAGAGATTCCAGCCTTTTGTTCTTCCCTCCTTTCAGTACAAGTACTCAAGAATCTGTTCCTAGTCATATCCCCCAATGGCAATGCTTTATTGTTACCTATCACTCATAATTTAAATACCCATAAGGAACTACTAGTAGCATCTCTAAAAATGATGAGACTCGATGGTATGAGAAGTAGGTGCAATTCCCACAAGGGAGGTGTGGTAGAGCGGTTGGTTATTTATGGGTAAGTGGTGGGGATAGACTTTTGATTCTAGTGAATCTACCTACTAGTCCCCCCCCCCTGGCTGGTATTCCTCTGCCCACCGTGGGAGAGCAGGACACTGCAGCACTGCAGCAGGACCAGTACCCAGCGAAAGACCAACAGGCTCTGATTGAACTTCAGTTTTGTATCATACCATGTGGCCTGTTTGTTTACTGAACCTGTATTGATAAAACTCTCCCCTACAATCTAACGTCAGATTCAGATTGAGTTTAAATCCAACGCTCTTTATCCAGTTTGTCATGTGTAATTGCCCCAATCACAACCACTATCTAGGAGGGCTGAAACATCATCTACAATAGGGATGACCACCCTATCAGAGATATATCCCAGCCTCAATTGAGTAGTCACAATGAGTATATCTCAATAGAAAAATCTTACCTCCAGTCCAATCATAAGAAAAACAGGATGAAAGTCCAAGGAGAATGGAAACAGAAAAACCGAGTCTTAGTGCTCTCTCTTCCTCCTGATCTTTTTTTTTATCTATCCCCCGCCCTCCCTCTCTAAACTTGAAGTGTGCCCGGCACCCCCTACAAACACAAATATTCGATGCCAAGGAATCTATAGCAAATAAACAATGCCACATGGTTATGAATGTCTGCCTATCTCACCATAAATCCATTTTCTGACTTACTTGCATGGCATAGGTAGCCAGTTATCACTTGACACTTGTTATCCCAAATGAGATATTGTGATGCTCTGATTGACCCCGCTGTCATCTGAGCTGTATGCCATCTCGAATTGTCTTTCGGTACCCAAATTGCGTTTCGAGATGACAGCAGTATTTGGCAAACAACTATTTTGAAAACATGTTTTAGCAAGATTTCAGAATGGGAGGGTGGTGCTGAATTGGGAGATAGACTACGGCTGTATGAGGCCCTGGAGTTTCTGGGTAGCCACTGACATTGATTTCCGAAGGTATTATGTTCGCGTCTCTAGTGAGACTTCGATATGCAAAATAATAATAAAAATCCCTGATCTAGCCCAGAACTACTGATGCCCCCCGAAAAAAAAACAGATTTCAAAGAAACTACCACAGCTTAAGCCAATAGATACGCAACCCACGCTCCAGTGATGGAGAGAAAAATGTTGAGTTTAGATGGAACGCGAGTGCTAAAGATTTTTTTTTTTGGATCCCGCTAGGGGATAGCTTTTAGTTTTTATATAGCAGATGTACAGGCGCGAGCGTACATACATACATACATACATACAAAGGAGGTGATGAATGTCAAGAGGTAGGGTAGTTGGATAAGAATAGGCCTCAAACAGAAACCCCCCTTCAGAAAAAAAAAAAAACCTCAACACATTATGATCCCAGCTAACCGTATATAGTAGCTGATGGAGGGGATAAAAGTATAAGACGTTCCCAGAAAAACACAAATGAATGCAGTGACAGGAATGGGAGGAAGAGACCCGGGGACAAACTCAGAATGCAATGGTGCTATTAGCAAAATTGTTTCAAAAGAAAAATAGTGGAAAAACGTGCAGCAATTGTAAAACACAAGACACATGTGAGCGTTAGATTTGTAGAACCTCCATCACAGTCTTGGGAACCTGGTAATACTCTCGACAAGAGATTTTTCACCACGGAGGAATAGAAGAAGAAGAAAAAGCCTCCACCAAAGGATAAGTTTCAGGGAAAACCTGAACTTGTAAAAGAAAGTGACCAACATCTCATGAAACCTGCACCCCATTCCAACGAGTCTGTTTGAGCGTCAATTCCCCTGAACATGACTCTGGGTGTATTCGTTGTTCGAGGTATTTTGTGCTTCCATCCCGGCAATGATATCCTCGATCGTCAGGGCCGGATATTTATTTTCGTAATAACTGAGAAAATCTGCTACGCTCACAAGAGGTTCGGTACGGAATAGCGTTTCGTCAGTGTTAGCAGAAGCTTCGGTGGGAATCGCGGCCTGGTCATGGCTCGGGATGCCGTGTTGAGGCCTGTGCAGCCGGGGGGGGTCTGGTAGAAGCGTAGGAGAACAAGGAGCTCGGGCACCAAGAGATGGGCCCAGCGTCCTTTGTGAGACAAAGTTTGGACATGCCCTGCCATTCTCAAAGGTGTAGCAGACGCTCAGATTATCCTCATAAACATCACCGTCATGTCCGTAGAGGCAGGAATGTCCATAATGACAATTTCCCACTGCATCTCCTAAGGGTCTTATTGTCCAATGGCACTGGGTTTGCCAATATGGAGGCCGAGGACGTGCGCTGGCCCGCTGCCTCGCAATAAATTCCTCAACGTGGGGGTCGAGGGAAAGAGACACAGTCATATTTCCCGCACATTCGATGGCACGTAGCTCGGGAGAAGCGCCAGCAGGGCCCCCATCACTTTCACCTCTGGTGTGAGTAATAGCAGGGTGAATCGGCTCTCTGGAAAGGAGATGCTCTTGGGGCAAAGGGGCGGGGCCATCCAACTGGTAACGGGACACAAGTTTCTCTGGAGAAAATGAGCGAAGAGGTATGAGCGGCTCCGTTAAAAACCTACTTCCTTCACCGCAGTCTTGATCCATGAGGGTTTGGGGACCGGGGGCTTGTCTATCACGAGTTGCAGGGACAGGATTTAGGAAACTAACTCCTTGTCTCTCGGACGTATTGGGCTCAATGAAAGGGGGTGGAACAGTAGAAGTTGAGCTAGGCAAGGATGCCATGTGTCTAGAAGATCCCAGGCTCAATTAGTTCTATGGGCAAGAAAAAGAAAAAACACTTTATAGAACTGGGGCTGATCTGACTTACTTGCTCGTGAGCCCCACAGGTGTATTGTAGCTCAAGTTTGAGTTTTGAGGTTGACTGGTACTTTTCCCCTGAAGGGGAGTTCCGGGTTCCTCATGGATGGCTTCTAAACGCTTGTCTTCCTTGAAGCTGGGACCAGCACCGTAACTCACAAAGTCATCACGTTCGTAGTTGAAAGTGGTGCGGCGGGTATGTCCACCAGGACCGGAAGACTCTTGGTTATATGTCGGTGCGGGTCTGGGATGTTGGTTTTTGGTAAACAAAAATCTTTTTCGAACATTTTCACTCAGGACTGTATTCGCGAAAATGGGCGACGAGTCTGGGTTAGGGGGGCGGTTGAGCGAGTTTCCTTCCAGAGTGGGGTAATCATGTGGGGCTGGGGGACCCGCTGCTTCAGCCGGTTGGTAATATCCGTTATGGAAGGCCATGGGCAATTTCGAGTAAGGGTTAAAAGTAGCCTCTCCTGTGTCACCAAAGGTCTCTGCATCGCGCGATGCTTCATCGAGTCCCAGGGCAGAAAGCTGGGCGGAAGACTGGATAATGCCCTCGTCGTACAACGGACTATTTTGAGAGGGTATAGAGCGCTGTTCCGGAGCATCATCCCGGTCCTGACAACTTTTTTTCAAGACAGTATTCATGTTTGTTTCTGTTTTTCTCTGGAGAGACCTAAGTGTGGAGCCACAGTTGTAAGCAGGTGAGGGCAATGGGCATTTATTTCTCGGTATGGGGGAGGATTATAATAGCTGCAGGAAATATCATGGAATCAGGAGCCAAGGAAGGATGCAAGGGGACAGGAGTGATGGTGAAATATACTGACATATCCATGCTGGTAAAGAATGTTGAATGACAATGGCCAGCGGGGGGAGTAAGATATAAGATGAGTTGGATAATGCGCCAAGGAGCGATTTTCGGGGAAGGGAGAGTCCTGGAGGGGTTGGAAATATGCAGGAGAGGGGGGGAAGCGGGGAGAGTGGATGGAAGGAGAAGAGAAAGACAGGGGTGAGAAAGAGAAGCTCGCTGTGGAAGAAGAGACGGTGTTCGAGGTGAGCGGGCGGTCGGAGGGGGGGATGGTGGTAGGCAGTAGGGTAGGAAGGGTTCATGTCGCACTTGTGTTGCTGTGTGCCGCCTTCCACGCAAGATGGATGGGAAGACGATGAAAAGCCCGCTCTAGACTGTAGGGTACCCACCCCTCAGAGTCCAGCAAGGGAGTAAAATGCAAGCAAACAAACAAACCATGCATCATATCTCTGCTACCCTTGGGGCAGGTAAATGGAACTTTCCAAACTCTCTCCAGATTCTGTTTGAAGAACCAGAAACGGCGAGAACCCTTCATAAAAGATCACTCGCAGAACTACACGAAACGTCTAACATTACGCGATGCGTCTGGCATTACTATCAGATTTAATGTCCTGAAAAAAAGAAAAAAAAACCAGAATAACTCAGTGTACAGAAAATATTGAGATGGGCAGATAAGCAAATTTGAAGGGTCGGGTAAATGGAGGGTCGGGCCATACCGGGATAAGGAATTGGTGGATATAAATTCCAGCCTTCCAAAGGATTCAAACTCGGTCGATGCCCTATACCGGGAAAGCTCAGAATACACTAAAAATCCACACTGCTCGTGAACCTGCAACCGCGGTTCCGGAGAAGGGTTGTGCAATATAGAGAGGGATATCCCATGGTTCCTTTCTCGGCCGTCCACTAGTCCGCTTGGTGATTCGCAATAGTCTGGAGGGCACAGTATTCTCAATAGTCGTATGAGTCTGGCAAATTTCCCTATAGTAAGCACCCGAATAATTGGTTGTCGTGCCGGGGGGTCAAAAATTGCCTCTCTCGGATAGGGGGGGGGTGAAAACACTGCGAAAATTGGCTCCCGGTGCCCTGGTCCAAGACAAAGGTGTGCTAGACCATGTCAGTAAAGGCAAGTCCAGTCCAACTTCCTATGATAGCATGAGTGGCAATTGTTCAAATTCCTACGGTATATCCCTTCTTAATGGCTGCTCGTTCATGGCCGAAATATCCCCACGCCTAGTATTTTCCGCCCACCTCGCTCCTATCGCCCTGTACCCCCACTACGTACCTCTGTTTTATTTGGATAAGGATCCGCTTTTCCTCCCTCCCTCCCCCCCTCCTTCCCTATTACGATTGCTATCGAAATTCCTAACTTCACTAGTACTCGCAAGTGGAGAGCACTACCCACAGACAGCGTCCATATATAATGCCCAGTGACGCCAGGTCAATGTGAGACCGAGGTAGGCTCTGCAGGCCCGTATCTCCCAAACTTTGCGGGCTCCATGGCCTCCTAGCGGCTCCGGTAATCCTCCCTTAGACACTATGCGGCTGGAAAATCCTTTGTCAATAGATAGTAGGTGTTTTCTCATGCGGGCAAATATCTTCAAAAGATCTTGGATATCTGCCCAGGTTTAAAGAGATTTGCCATCAGGCGCGATAACTGAAGATGTATTTTGGGGCTTAGGCATGGAACACACAAGGGAGGAGAAAACGTTCCGGTATCATAGGTTTAAGGCAATAGGTATCAATGCCTCGGATACTTGTTATCATAGTTTTTCTGTCACCGGATGTGATATCATATGAGATCTCGAACCCGTGACCAAACCGCTGCGGCACTACCGATCAGGTGTATTACTTAGGGTGCGTCTGATTGCCACCTCAAACCTTCATTTTGACCCCTGTTATGGAGGTTTTCCACAAAAAAATCTTTTCCATTTGGGTAGCATGTGTGGTTGACAGCAGAACTCAATAACCAAGATGCAATAATCAAGATGCAATAATGTCAAATGGAGGTTTCAGAAATAGTGATCTGGCCAGTATTTTCCCAACCTACAACATCATAGGGCCCTAACCCACCAATTAGCACAGCCTGAATGTAGAACAATAAAAAAATTCAATCAATGTATTCAAATTGTCTCTTTTAAATGAAAATTCTTGGCACTATTTTAATTGGTCAGTGGGGTTGGGGTGACCGGACACATGGTTGTGACATTCAGTGTTCCCAATGGGCCAGGTAGGCCAGGCCCAGCTATAGGCCATATAGGCTAAGTACCTGCCACCTGATGGGCCGGCCCGGCCTATATGGCCTAACCAACCAGGCCTGGCCTATGAATGCGGGGCTACGATCTCTTCAGATCTTTGGTTTCCATTTGGCTCATCTTTCATGCTACTAAACTAGCCTGAGCTACTCATGCGCAGTGTTCTCAACCATCTGGGGCGCCCGTAGGGCCTGACGGAGGGACTGCCAAGACCCCGGGACGGGACCGGACGGCAACATATAGTCTGTCCTTGTCCTTAAACTCCTAGGATGGCCGTCATGAGGAAGGGCGATGAGTCCCAAGATCTGAGGCAACTTCTAGTGGGGGACGGCAGGTGACTACATATGATAGGACCACCGGGGATCGTAGGGGATGGCGGGGGACAGTGGGGGACGGTGGGGAAGGGCTGGGGGTTTAAGGGACGGCAGGGGACGGTGGGTGGCTGTGGCTGACGGCAGGGAACTGTCGGTGGATGGTCCTTTACTCTTATATGTCGGGCAAGTTCATGAAAAGACTGGATGGGACGACACAATGCAGTCTGTCCTGGTCCTTCATTCCTACCTGTCGGGCACGTTGAGAAAATGACCGGACGGACTGCCCCGTTGCAAACACTGCTCCTGCGAGAACTGTAACTTATATAGTCCCTACACAAATTCCACATGTTGGTGTTGATACTAGAGTAGAACGGAAAGAGTATCAGTAAGATCACTAATAGTATTAGGCACTGATCCTATGTGTGGGTAGTGATATGGATTTACTCGTGGTTGATGAAAATCCCCGAGTTCTGGTAGAACTACATCAACCATAGTGGGCACATTCACTGATGGATTTAATAGAATTCCTATGGAAGAAACTGAATCGGAAGGAAGGAAGGATTGTGAGATAGGACTAGATTGGAGAATCTGGATAGAGATTGCCTGGACTTTGTTGAGCTGGCTGTGGGCCGGTAATTGCATATTATCATACTTCAATCAACAACTAAGGATATGGATAAAATAATAAATCACAATGAAAGCTGTAAGGAATCGAGCCATTCTTAAAGCAATCAGCTCTAAAAATCCCACTTGCAGGCCTGTTGAGTTCAGCCTATATCCACCTAGGCCCATCTTCAGAGCGGCCTGCCGTGGCCCAGCCTATATGCCCTAGCCCGTTGAGAACACTGACGACATTACGCTTGACAAACCATCAACTGGGGATTATTGTGGTTTCTTGTTGCAACCTCCATTTTGTGATTATCAAGGTTTCAATAAGCCTCGACGGCCAGACGCGCCCTTAATAAGTTGGTTCCCCTATGAGTTCCACTTTGCCCCCTTCCTCCACGGCGGCATTCCGGCCGCTGCGACCGCTGGATTAGCGGTTTAAATTTATTTATCCTTAGATTTTTTTTTTTTTCAAGGAGAGGCAGGATAATTACTTTATCAAAACTAGTTCCTAACAAGGCGTACCAGCTCTCCCAGGAGACTTCCATTTCGGCCTCTTACGAGTACAGTATCATATCATACTTGTGCGATGATAGGTAGAGCAACACAACTGGCCCCCACACCAGACATTCCAAAATTGCATAGGCCGGACTCCATAGGAAGCATAACTTCTGCCAAACCCGTTCCCACCGCCAAGCTGGATAATTTCCAGATCACCCATCCCCACACGAGCACATCCCACCCCCCCGACCCAATCGACCTGCGAGACACACCACTCCACTGAAAAAGCGTCGATCCACACTTATCCGAACTTGTGGAACAGCCACCTCGTGGGGAGATGGGTGTTTTGCATGCATGTGATAGGTACCACTGCAAAAGAGTGGTGGGACCCTTGCATGCAAATTTGGGATCCAGTGGGACGGCAAAATACGGGGTGACAACAATAGAAGGACCAGAAGGACAAGAAAAGAAAAAAGGAAAAAAAGGAAACACGCGAGGGATGGTGCGCTAGTGCAAGTACCTTTCTCCGGAAGAAAAGGTTGTGAATGATTGTGCGGCTTCGGTGATAGTGGATTCGCGGAGTTAAAGGCCCCACCCCAAACATTCGTACCGCGCGATATGGGAGGATAGTGGATGCCGATTATTCACACCATCACGTCCCCAGTTCCAATAGCCACTACTGATAGAGGGCGAATGGTGACCGCGGGAGGTTAGGCTAGTGGGGCATCCACTCGCACAATTGTCCCTCGCAATGCACGCATCGAAACCCGGGTAAAAGCGCATTCCGCAGCCCGCGAGCGTGTATCTCCGACAATCACGTCTCCCGCCACGATATTGTGAACCCCTGAAGATGGACGGAGCGGGAAGGACCCTTACATCACATCACTAGACCGCAAATATATGTCAAATCCCCACATGGCCTTTTGAAAAATGAAAACAAAATAAAATATATAAGACAAGACATAAAACCCCTCCATCCTCTATTCGAAAAAAAAAGGAATGTCTTCCTCCACATCTTCGCCGCCGTCATCGCTACTACAAAACGTGCAGAGAACACAAATACAACCCACAAACCAACGAAATGGCACCCCCCTCAATTACGCAAACGGAAACAGAACTCCTCTTCCTCCTTCAAGGCACGTAGCCACCCCCCGCCCACGTCCCCGCCCCCCACACGCCGTGACGCCCTGCCCGTCGCTACAGGCGCCGCATCAGTTCTGCCCGGGTGGGACCACATGTCCGTTCGGTCACGACGGAGATGAGTACCTCGAAAAGCGCGGCGTGAGGTATTGGTTTATCGGTGGACGGCGGGTGGAGCAGAGGGTTGGTGGTGATGGTGGGGAGAAGGAACTTTGGGGTGACTTTTGGGGTGCGGGGGTGGGGGAGTATGAGGTTGAGGATGGGGACGAGGAGGGGGAGGGGGATGGGTACGAAGGAGAGGAGGGGGAACGGTGTAAAAGGAGGAAGGTGGACTGAATCGGGGGGTATTGTGGGTTTGGGGATGTTTTCTTTTATTAAATCTTTTTTCTTTTTTTGTTTCCTCACTCTCAATTGGGGTGGCGGAGTCGGATTGTTATTTACGAGTCACGATGGGTTTTCCTTTTGTTTTTCTGAACGAATCGGAGAGGAGTTCATTGCGGTTTGAGTGGGAAAATATACCGGTATTCCAGCTACCATGCATGCATCGTGCTGTACTGTACGGTACTCTACAGTACAGCATTCGTATTATCTGTAGGATGGTGACTCCAGGCTGGCCAGGATCATTTGCCAATTGATGCAAGGGCTTCCTGTGCCAGGCCCACCTTGCTCACCACGAGCTTTCCAGAAGGTAATTCTCGAGGCCGGTGTGACGGACGGGAGGTGCAGACGCTATCTTGAGCTTTCCATCATACTCGTACAGGTCCCTGGCACGAGCGGACTGAACACAGCGGGGGTTCCCGGAGTTGAAAGTCCTTGGCAAAGCCACTCCCCTATGTTCACTCCGTACATGCCAGGGACTTGTACAGTAGCACTTTGCGTCACAGTTCACAAGTGACGCACTACCATAGGAAAACGATTCGTTACCGGCGGTGCGGTAACGATCCCGGGGTGGCGAGATTCTCGCTTCAACTAGGATCTCTGGCAAGTTCCCGTGCTGGAGTACGGTAGTGTGACGAAAAAAACAAAGGAAAGCAAAAAAAACAAGGTACCTGTACCGCACCATATCATACCAGAAAACCCATACAAGCACATAACACCTCTCAAACATAGGAATATGAGTACCGGTAGGGGAGGATCGTAAATTAGAGTACCGGCAGATGAACATTTCCAACGGATGAAAAATCCCCACAAATGTCTACGGCACCAACTTATGGGTCAGGACGTCCCTTCCGGAATCCGTGACCGTCACCAGTTCAGAGCTATGATATGCATGATAATACAGCGTGGCACTTCATCCTGGTCCGATGGTGTCTGCTCCGTCGTAATACCGGATCGTCGGACTGAAATTCCGCCATGGTGCGCGCACACGACCACAATGGGGGTTTGTGTATACCGTGAGGCGAGAGCTTCCGCGATGTGGGTGTGATACCGTGGATATATTCCGCCGCGGTTGGCTTTGAGTTTGTGCGGTGCTGCCGGTATACGGATCAATGGATACGGTGCTTGTCCGAGAAGTGAGGGGGTGGGGAGGGCGTGTTTCTTGGCTCGGGGGTCTTCGGTTGTGGGCCGGACAAGTTGTCGTACTCGTGTCGCTGTTTCCTCTCTTTCTCCTCTTGGTGGGTCACCACTAAAACAGGAGCGACTTCAATCCGGCGGCGTTTCTGCTGGCCGGCATCCCATCGGTTTTCTGAAAAAAAAAAAAAAAAAAAAATAGTAATCTACAGAGTTATGTTCGAGACTAAAATGCCCCCCCACCGCGTCAAGTCATATTCCCCCTCATCCTTGATAACTGATTGATAAATCCGTAATACCCCTCCTTGCCTCCGGCCCAGCCGCCTCCTTCGACACGCTCGTCGCTTCGGGTATCCCTATCCAGCAATCTCCGGCTCTTCCCCGCTTCCTCCTCCCCACCACCACCCCCTTCCCTCTCCAGCCTCTCCGCCTCCCGTCTAGCCTCCTCCTCGCCAATCTTCTCTTGCAGCGCTTCGACGACCGCCTTCCTAGCGGGCCCCTCAACCGTGCCTTCGAAGAGCTTGCACAGCTCCCGTAATTCCGCCACCTTCCGTCTCGCGCCGTCGAGATCCCCGGTGGATAAATGGTAGAGAACGTCTTCAACGGGATGGCTCGCCGACATCTTTTGCGCGCCCCGGAGCGCACGTATGGGGGATGGGGTGCGTGGTGTGGGATCGGTGCTTGGTGGTGCCAGTTTATCTTGTTCCGCTCCCTCGTCCTCACCGGGACCCTCGAGCGTCCAATCCATCGCGTGTCCAAAGACTTTGACCACGTCCTCCAAGCGTGAGCGCGCGCGGGAGAGCATGCGGAGTTTTTCAAGCACCCGTAGTTCCTCTTTCCCCACCTCCCCCATCTCCTCACCTTCCCCAAGGCGTAACTCGCGCACGCACCCATCCAGGTCCCCGTTCAGCGACGAGGCGAGCGAGACCACATCGCTGCGGAGCAGGTCCACCTCGTACCCGAGTCTTGGCGCGAGCCGGAGGATCTCGTCAGCCTGGGATTGGAGGGTGGAAATGAGGGTTTGCGTCTGTAGGTCTAGTGTTGAGAGTAGAGTTGCCGTTTTCGAGGAGAGGGTGGAGAGGGTTTCGCCATTTGTGGGTCTTGGGGTACCGGCTGGATTGAGGTCTGGTGGTGGTAGGAGGGGTGGGAGGGCGCTGTTTAGGTAGGCGCTTGGGGAGAAGGTTGGGGAGAGGAAAGGTTTCAGGAGCGGGTCAGAGAGGACAAAGTTTTGCGGGGGCGCTGTTGGTGTCGGTGGTGGTTGTTGCGGTGAGAGGGGGGGGTCCGGCATGGTTTGGGGGGGGGGGTGGCTGTATTTCGTTTGTTTGAAAACACAGTGTTCCCGGGGTGCCGATACTGGCAGAGGCTGACAGGCTGGATTTACTGGTATCATACAGTATGTACTGGCAGGGTGGCGGTGGTGCTATACGGTAGGTAGGGTAAGCGAGCGATCTTCGAGTTACCCGCGCTCGATCCATTTGGGCGGGGACTAAGCTGTTGTGGTAACGATCCCTCGAAGCCTAGCTTTTTGCGGCTCCACTATGGTCAGCTGTCAGGCATGGGATCATACAGCTCCGTCAAACGTGTGCGATAAGCTTTGATCTTCTTGGAGAGGAAATGATAACACAATGCCCATTATCGCCCAGAAATAGGAGGAGCATTCGGTCCATCTAACTCATGCCCCCGTCACCCCGTCAAAGTGCATACCGCTTCATAAAGGATGACCCTCCCCCGCACTTGCACATCTCCCCAGCTCAGTCCTGACCAACTCCGTGACTCACTCCCCACCTCTTCTCTTCCCCTTTCTCCTCCTCCTCCTCCTCCCCCCTCATCAGGCTCATGGCCCACAGTAGGGCAATCGTCAATACGGGAATGTCTGCAGACTCACCGCTCTTGTCCTGATTGAACAGACCCCGAGCACTTCACCACATCGCTCGTTGGACCCCCTGCTATCGCATCATCTTCCACAATCTCTTTGCCCACACCACATCCAACCACCCTGCCGCTCTTCTAGGCTTCTGCAAATTCTCGCAAATTCTCTTATAAAATACCGCTCACCACATTCCCTCTTCACTTCTCATACCTTCTTTCCTCTTCCCAACTCCGCACCCTCTTTTACTTGCACTGTGTGCTCCCGCCTCATTCATTCATCCAGCTGTGGGGGTTACCCCTTTTATCTATTTACGTATTTTCTTTCTAGCACCGGACGCTTGCGCTTGGTGGATACAATGGGTCGGCGAGAGTTTGTGAGAGACCTTGAGGCGGCGAAAGATTCAAGCTTCGATGGTTTGACCGGTGAGCTCCAGGAGAGATGCACGGGCCCTAGTATCTCGCAACGCTAACATGGCCACCACGGGTAGATATTAGGCGGGGTGAGGATGACGGTAGCTCAAAATTCACGTTTACTTCCAGGGATCTTATCAATAGGGTTGACATTACTGTTTTTGTCCCAGGTCGGTCCCCTTCTCCGCCCTCACCTTCACCCAAACTCTAACTGACGGGAGAGTGCAGATCTGGACGAATACCCGAGAGCACATAAATACGTCATCTATGTTACTAGCGAGGACGTGCCCGAGAGCTTCACTTCCTCACTGGAAAGAGTGCAGGACGCCTGCTCCGGGCACAATCTCCCGCACCTACTGGGGAGGATCGTGGGAGCGCTAAGCCTCGGCCCGGATTCCATGGATGAGAGCTTAGGTGGTGGGGATGAGGATGTGGGGCAGGAATCCGACCTGGACTGGGAGGAAGATATACGAATTGGTGATGTCGATTATCTCCCTGGCGTTCGTGAAGGCTCCTCCTTCAAAAACTGGGAAGAAGGTGCCCCGACGAAGAGTTTCACTCGAAAATTAAAGCTCCAGTTGCAGGAGGACCTCCGCCAGGTTCGCGACGCAGGATTCAGAGTGGGTGTGTTTGGGGATTTCAAAGGGGAAGTGTTCTACATCACCATTAGCATCCGGATATCAAAGTTGGGGATCTCGGATGAAGCCCTGGCAGCGTGGCTACTCGATAAGGACAAATACTTCATTGTTATCATTCACTACACGAATCTTTACAAGCCTCTTGAGTGGCTCTTGCAACCGGAGAACCGAAGTCGGGTTGGCCAAGAGATGCAGATGTGGGCTGGGCTGTCGACGAGCTATAAGGCCAGTTTGCATGAATGCATTCGGATGTTTACCAAAGTTAAAGATCATGGTTCTGTTGGACCCGATGGAGTAAAGGAAGGGGAGGCAGGAGCTTTGCATTCGTTCTTCATGAGCGATGCGATCACAGAGTTGTTGAACTTGAGGCTCGTCTCCCTAGCCAGGTACCGAATCCAGGGTAATTTGGGCTGGGAAGGGGCGGAATCCCTCCTCAAAGGTAAGCTCGACCAAGGGCATATTGCTGCCTCAGCGATTGACTCGAGTGTAGATATCCAGGCATTCCCCGCTACCTTAGCAATAGGATACCAAAAGTACCGCGACATGCGATCGGAATCCAAAACTGCCCTAAAGCCGGTCGTTGCGGCGGATGCTCTTTCGGGGGGGGGGTTTCGCGGCATTGGGAGTTCATTTCCACTGATAGCAATGCAATATGCCATCCGGCACCTCGTCCGGTGCACAGAATTCTGCCTCGTTTGCCACGATAAGATCCAGAGCGATTTCGAGGCCATGAAACCATATGTCTGCGATTCTCCATTGTGCCTGTACCAGTACATGTCTTTGGGATTCGGCCCTAGAATTGAGAATGAGATACTCACTCAGCCAACGGTTGTGGACTTGTTGGTCAGCTTTTGCTATACCGCGGCGGCGGCGATGAGATTACGGACTTTCCCGACAGGGATGAATATCCATGTTCCGTCAGAGCCAAAACATCAGGCGAGATACCTCGGTTCTGCTAATCGGGTTGTCTTCTCCGCCTCTTTTGAGCCTCCCAATGTGAAGGTCGGGGATTGGATATACTTTACCCCGTGTAAAGATCGCCTGCCTTGCCACCTAAGAGTTGTGGAGGTCTCTTGGCCAGAAGTCCACGTTGGACCACCAGTCGACGTGCCCCATCCTTCCCACGACCAGCCCTCGGGCTCCCCACCGCCGGGTGCTGTTCCTCCTCTCTCGTCTGATTTCACACAGGGCTCAGGATATGCTGGTTTCGTTTGTATTCACAACAAAGCATTTGACGAAGTTAGCCTTCAGAAGAAATGCTTGGCCATTACTCGGTTGTTAGATCTGCTGCCTTCCGTTAGGGAGATGAGAGCATGGTTGAAATCAAATTCCCTGTCGGGACTCGACGTTGGCTTGAGGGCTTGGGTTGACAGAATCTTGCCTTCGTCTCTTAATATCCTGCGCTGGATCATCGCTAGTAACCGCAGTTGTATTCTCCCGGCCGATCACGAATTGGGAGTAGATGGGCTCCCTGTGGCCATGCGGAGGAATGACTCCAGGATTTTGGGGGTGAATAATTGCCTCCAATTCAGATTTGCTATGGGTGCCCCAGATAAAGAGCAGAGATTCGTCAATAGCGTGAAGGAAGCGGGGTCCCGGTTGGACCTGCAGTGTATAAACCCTTCTTCCAATTTTATTCAAAGATTCATGTCATTAATCGACACAGATCCTACTCTTTTCGCTTTCCACGGGTCCCCACTGGCAAATTGGCATTCGATCATCCGCTCCGGCCTTAATTACGAGTTCATCGCTAATGGGAGAGCATTCGGCCACGGCGTGTACCACAGCTTAGACATGTCGATTTCGCTAGGTTATTCGGGCCATGTAATTCCATCTGCTGTGATCCGTCAGACCCCCACCCCCCAGCCGGCAGCCGGTACCTCGCGCTACCAGGGAGGGTTCTACGGGCTGGAGACGAGCCACTGGTGGCTGAAAAGTATCCTGAACATCAGGAATGCCGTCTCTTTGAATGAGATAGTCAACGCTCCGGGAGAGTTTGTGTCCTCGTCGCCACACCTGGTTGTTGACAAATTAGATTGGATTCAGACGAGATATCTGTTCGTCAAGGTTATTGGAATAGATATTCAAACACCCGCATCTCCTCTTGGCGACAAAGTGGAGTATCTTCAACAGGACACTCAGTTTTCCCCAAGGGGGGACTCAGGAATTAATTTGCAAATACCCGCCCTCGGGTCTAAGCGTCGGGATAGGAGGGTTTCTTCGCCTGTGAGTGCCCCACACGCGCGCCCACTGCCGCGCAGGGGGGTGCGTGTAATGGCTCCCAGACGGGCCAGAGCACCGAACACTCGGTCAAAAGATCTAGAAAATTCCCCACCGAGCTCTCTGGATGGGGATGTCCTTGAGGAAGGCACCATACCCGGCTCTGCCACGAATGTTATAGATGTCGAAAATGACGACGCTAGAAGTGACAGCACCGAAACTACCGACGTGATGGCCTACTTCTCGGACGAGGAGGAGGAGGGGGAGGGGGTAGGGGATATAGAAAACAAGACCACCCCACTTCAATGCTCCAACACAGACGCGATCCTCTTCCGGCCCAACACCCACGATATCTCATCAGGCCTGCTCCTCCCACCTCCAACCTACGCAAGCTCCGCTGGGACTCGCCGTCTAACAGCCGACTTGCACCACCTCCTTTCCCTGCAGAAGAAATACCCCCTGGAGGAACTCGGCTTCTACATGAACCCATCCTCCGTCTCCAATGTCTACCAATGGCACATAGAACTGCATTCATTCCCACCAGAAATTCCTCTATCCACCGACCTGGCCACCAAAAGCCTCTCTTCCGTTCTCTTGGAATTCAGATTCGGCCCCAACTTCCCCATGTCCCCACCCTTCGTGCGCGTCGTGCGACCCAGATTCTTGACCCTTGCCGAGGGTGGTGGCGGTCATGTTACTGCAGGTGGGGCGCTGTGCATGGAGCTGTTGACCAACTCGGGATGGTCTGCCGCGAATAGTATGGAGAGTGTGCTCTTGCAGGTTCGCATGGCGATTTGCTCGGAGGTGAAGCCGGCAAGGCTCGCGCCTGGGGCCGTGAGGGATTATGCGGCAGGCGAGGCGAGGGATGCGTATCTGAGGGCTTGCCGGGTGCATGGGTGGGGGGTTCCGCAAGATTTTTTGACGATGGTTTAGTGTAGGCATTTAAATTGAGGGATTGAGGAGGGATGAGACTGGTGCTCGCTTTTGCAATATAGGCTTCTCTTTTCCTTCCCCTAATCCTCTCAATCCGTCCACTTGAGATGATTGGTTTTTTTCTACCTTCTTTTCACATGGGATCCTCCTGGCTCTTTTTTTTTTTTACAAGATCGTTGTGTACAATGGTCAATTGCTTGACGATGTAGGCTAGTCGTCGTTGGGGATCAGGGATCTAGCTGGAGCCCGGAAATTGTGTTACGATGCAATAGGAAGAAAGGATATGATAGCAGTAATGTCAAGAAATTGCTGCGTGTTGTTTGAGTTCTCGACAAATTAAACTCCCGCGTACCGCGCCTACACGACCTCTCCACTTATCCCACCGCCACCAATAACTCGCCTAATGCCCCTAGTGACATTTGTAACCCGGAACCCCTTGAAACGGTGGCGAGCCTGAGAATCAGCGAACCAAGCGAATATTCCAGAGATCTGAGGTGATCGATCGGCCCGCGGTGCTTTAATTACTCAAGAACCTGTTTCTCAAATACCAGAGGATTTTTGAGGGGCAGTCAGCTCCATTTCCAAGGTCCGTTCTTTTGGTTTTTTTGGTTGCATCGTCCTCGGGTATCCGAGTCCTCAGCCCCACCAAAAGTAATCTAGAGATTTTGTAAATGATCAAAACACCGGGATTGCGCAGAGAAGCACCTACAATCACTCGACACTGGCCCGATCTATGAGACCATACGGGAGAAAGATATGGAATCAAACATCATAGGCGGCAGCACCTCCTATCCCGAATACGAGTTATAGGAGAAATGGGAAGAAGGATAAAGCGCGAACCGCCGGCAATGAAATTGCCCACGGGACATCTCTCCCACACCAGCCCGAAATGGCATTTCCCCTAGTGGAGAAAAGTGATGAGGTATCGTGCGACACCATGTGGTCATGGAGTACTGGGGGTTCTTGGGGGGGAGGGAAGGTAGGAGGGGAGCATAGTGTGTAGTTGGGTATTATACCTATGATACTGTGACATTAAACCGCGCGGGCTATTTCTCCCGGTTGGGGGGCTGAAGGACTCTGCTCTTTTTTTTCTTTTTCTTTTTCTTTTTCCCCTCGCACCTCCCGTCTTTCGTATTTCACTTTTTTGGGGAATAGGGTGGTGAAGGAATTGATCGGTTGGGCTTCAAGGTTTTTTTTCTTTTTTTCTTTTCTACTGTGCTCACCGGGTCATGATAAATTTCCGCGTTCCCGGGTAGCCTCTTCCCAGGGTCTGGCTAAATGTGGAAAGAATGGAAGGGTTTGGTATTCCTACCGCTGAAACTCAACGGACAAATAGCGGGGCTGTTTTTTTTTTTCTCGTACAGTGCAAGGCCGAAGTTTGGAAACAAAAGGGTTGGTTGGTTCTGTGGGATATCGTGGGTTCTCTACAGTATTTGTTTCAAGGTCTAAACAACGAACTCGAAGGCTCCCCCGGACGATTAGTGTGAATTAGAAAGACTCCGGATTTTGGAAGTGAAGGGATTACGAGTCGAGACCACCGAAAGGATCATGCTGTTATTCCGTTTCTCTATCTATCTGGGTATCTTCTCTCTGTCCCTTTTACGTGTTACAAATGAGGACTTCTTCTTTCCTTCTTTCTGTGATTCGAATCCAGCTGGGATTTGTCCTGTTCAGTACCCCCCTTATAAGAAGGGTGTACTCCTACCGGTACTTTTCCTTCTCTGATAATAGAAGAATGAGCCTTGGGCACGCTGTGTCTGAATTTGTCTTTTTTACCACTGACGATTCCTGGGCGGTGAGGGCTGATGATATATAACTTGGCGCTGAGGAGTTGAGGCCCACTTGGTGGAGGCTGCGGTGATTATCGTGGGATAGGGAATGGGAAAATTGCCCTTCTCCACATCCGCGGCGCCTACCCCAGTAGATCGGCGAAAGAGCTTCCGTGGGACTACTGGTTTACTCAGTAACGGTACAGGTGGTGCCAGGTGGTTCTAGTAATATCTTGCCAATGAGCGGCAGATGTCTCGGGATGACTTGGGGCCTGCAACTACCCTCCAATACCTACAGACATCAACAGATATTTGTAAATATCGGCCAATATTAATCACCGCTTCACCGTCATCGGGAGCCTAAAGATTTGTAAGACATTGCCAAGAAATGAGGGGGAGAACGAAGGTTGAAGTGTGGTAAAAGTAGAGGGTGTTCAAGCACTGGTGCTTTCCTGTCGTTATTCACCACCGAGTGATGATTTATGTTTTCTTTTTCTTTACCGCTTCTCTCTCCGCTACCAATCCCTTCTCGGCACCGTCAAAGAGTTGTCTAAATCCCACCGACGGTGGAGAATTGCACCTTCCTCATGGGGTCTTATGCTCAACCTTTTGGTTCCTCAGATCCGGATGAATAACACCTCCGGTTTGCATGTTTTACTTTTCCTCATTCAAAATATATCAGCTACTGCTTTCGCATTCGGTTCGAATCACTAGATTAGGAAACTGGCACAGCCCCACATTCACATTCTGATCGTTACTATCTTCCCTCAAGCACAAGGAGGGGTGTTTGAGAGTTGTTGTGGATGTTTGCTGAGTGTGATGCACGAGAGAAAGAGTTGAGCGGAGAAAATGCGGTCTCCATGTCCTATAGATATTCCCAGAGGGGAGTCCCACGCCAGGAATACCTGTGCCCGAAAAAAGCCAACACGGTCCCGGGTAAGAGAGAAGGTACACGAGCTGAGTTACGCAGAGCACCGAAAGACATCCTCTTCCCTAAGCTTCACAGTCGTGCAACTTCCCTCACGCTCTAATATGAGGAGTATCAGATCACCCAGGTTTCCATATTACAATAAACTCCTCCTCGACCCCCACGCTATAGCCAGCGCCCAACTGTCGAACAGCCTGCTCAGAGACAATTTGAAATTTATTGCTTCGCCGAATCCATAGAGTATCCAGATAAGAGATTTCTTTTGAGTTCTCCGCCCAATCCTACCGCTTTCAAATAGCTATAGCTGATACCAAAAAGGCCATTCACAATAGCTAACCTCCTTCAGGGAATACCGATCTTCCATGCCCACGATAACCCTCTCTCTAGAGACACCAATTTCCTACGCGTCCCGACCCTCCAACCCACACCCCCAATCTGACCAAACATCCGATCCCAACTGAATCCTCGACCGCCTGTCTTCATATACCGTCACTCGCTCGGTAGAAGAACCTTTTTTCGTGAGTTCTCCACAATTACAGCCAGAAGATCGGCTCATCGGAGAAGGCAGTTCTGGCAAATTTCCCTTGGTTCGATAGGAGGGTCCCATTCTGCTACAAAGGCCCCTTTCGCGTCTCTATTCCCTTCCCTGTCGAAGCCGTTATCAGGACCCGGAGGAGATAATTGATTCGCTCTCTCGCCTCGCAGGATATCCCATTGATAAATTCACATGAGGGTTCGCTACAACTCGACCTCCTATTCCAAATGCATCTCTCCCGTTCCTATTTCGGATCCCATCATGCCGACACGATGCAAACCCACCCACTGAAGCAGTGAATCTCGAAAGGAAGTAATAGCACTGCCGTCCCGCGATCGCCCCAGCAACCCCCTCTCACCTCGATGCAAGGGGTCCTAAGAGGCCAATCACCACTACTCACTCATCGCAGCCTTTGTAGACGGATTCACCAAGCAACCCCCAGATTCCAATACCCCTACGATTTACTGCCTCTGCCACCATACCTGAGGCCCCATACATACATAACCCCCTTCGTCGTTCCCATCGACAAACTTGCCCTATCCGATGTTGATCAGACTCTACAACGCCGCCGCATTCCCCTTCTGCCCCCCTCCCCTTCTAACAATCAAACGATCCAAGAAAAGGAGCTGAAGAGTCGGAAGAGCGGCAATCACCAAATGGTCTTACCCGGCATCGGGAGATGGCAAAAAATAATTAAGAGAGCCAGAATTCGAGAAACAAGCCCGGTAGATTGATTGAGTGGCTCCCCTGGAGGGAATTATGGGGGGCTCGATTCTATTGGGGAATAGTGGTGAGGGTGGGAAATTTTAACAGGTTATGAGGGTATCTGTAGACGATATATCGCTGACTTCATCCCCCGTCCTCTAGTGGCCCTGGACAATCCACAGGTGGAACTTGTGGAATTCTTTCACTATTGTGTTTGAACTTTTGTCAACTCTGTTGCCTTGATCACTGATAGGGGCACTTTTGTGTATTGAGCTCCATTTGCTTTATCACCCAGCTGGTGCATCTTCCGGCACATTAGATGTTCTTTAGCTGTGCTTTTTTTTTTTTGGCGCTGCATTTGGACCCATCTATTCGGCACAAATAGTGAACGAGATGGAGTATAGCTAGCTCTTAGGTAAGGCCGCTCGTTACCCGATCATGAGAAACATACTGGGGATGAATTGCCAGTGGTGAGAGGGATTTATTTAAGATAGAGAGCTTTGGTACTTAGATTTACATAAGACTGGGGACATCCTGAAGTATGAATGATAGTGTAATTGATATTTGAAAGAATCATCGGGCTTTAAGAATCGGTGTCAACGGTTAGGCAGGGAGATCGTAAAGAAGAAAAAAAACACAGGTCATAGATAATCTTATGCTCGTTCTAGGAAGGATTTTCATGCCTAAAATGGTAAACGCCCTCCATATTTCCCTCGTGGGAATTGGAAACAAAACGCAACCTTAGAGACTCCACTCTCTCACCCTGACACAAATACGTCACTCTATTCCCATGATTTTTGTTCTCTTCAGCTACCATAAACAGGTCTGCCCTGATGGCCTTCATGGTGATGCGGATTTGAGAGACCAACCTCAAGCAATAGAGACATTTCCCCCCGCTAAGCCCACTTTCCGTTGATCTTCCATTACTATAGCAGAGTATTATCAAACTCCTTTACTTACCCAGCTAGCAACAAGATCCTCAATCAAAGGAGTTAACAACTAGTATTCTCTATTCAAGCACCTTCTTTTTAAGGGGTCTGAGTCTGATAGCTTCTCGTTGAGG